ATTCTGTTTCGCCCATGATACCCCCCATGTGTTGCCATTCCTGAGGACTCAGGTGTTATTCCTCTGTACCCTGTAAATTCACGCCATATCCCACCCTTCAAACCGAAACACAGCCATGCAAACACAACTGCTTCACGGTAGAAACACGAATGGGACAGAGGTACCCAAGCAATCGACTTTTGTACAAAGTTTCCCTCTGGCAACTTATTTATTATGTTTAACCGATACTTAACTACGAAAATAAAATAAAATATACGGATGTCCGTCTGTCAAGGCCCTTTTTCATAGGCACGCGTAGAGGTTTCAAGTAGAAATTAATATCATATACTTAGGTATGCAATCTCTTAAAAAAATCAAGCTTCTAAATCGATGCAAACAAAAGATACGGTCGTTTATGTTCTATTTATATTCTGTGGCATATTTTGACATTCGCAAAGGGAATAAAATCCTATAGAGTACTTTCCGTTAAGCTAGAATCATGTAATTTGACAAGAAGCAATGTTATGTAGAATAAGTATAGGCAAAAAAAACTGGAAAAATCGGAAAACCGTAAATTTGTAGTTATTTCCCAAAAAAAAACTGTAAACTTGACGACTTTGCAGGGAACCCTCGTTGCGCGAGTCCGACTCGCGCTTGACCGGGTTTTTTATTAATGTTATAAATTAAAAATAACCGCAACCTCGAAATAAGGCCACAAACAATACAGTAGGTATTTTTCACCGCGTATTCAGTCAAGAGAATAAAGCGACCCATAAATTCCTCACTTGCTATTTAATTGTACGGAACCCACGTACTTGACCTGTTTTGCTGTACACAAATGATCCCGTTTAAGATTCTGACCTTACACCGTGGGCGGCGCCGGGACCTCGTCTAGTATAATACTTGTGGACGACCACAATTATCCACTTTTATTGCAACCACGCTAATGTAGGTGGCCTTTATTTCATCTGTGTTTTGTTTTAAGGTGTAAATTGAGAAGGATGTTTCGTATCATCCTGGGCTTTAACCACGCGGTTTAATCTGGAAACCATCATAGTTAATTCTTGTCGAATTAACTAAACCGTGTGGTCCCGGCATAGAATAGGCCACCCCCTTCCTTTCCCGTGAGTGTCGTAAGAAGCGAATGATCCGCAGCAGCGTCCCTCTTAAAACTCTCTAAAACCTAACTGCGGTTGCCAATCCGCCTGCCAAGTGTGGCGCAAAACCCCTCAAGAGGGAGGTTTGTGTTCAGCAGTGGACAGTTAAAGAGTGATATAATAATAATAACAATAAAACTGACCTGCTTTCATCCTCTTAGTTAGTTACCTGTAGATACCTTATCTATAATTGGTACACAGCCAGCGTATTCCAATAGCGCAAGCGGGGTTGCCATTCTATTTTCACCCATTAAAAAAAACTAGATAGGCACACACTGTCATATATACAGATATTACTTTTTTTTTTTTTTTTTTTATACAACTTAGAATGGCAAACAAGCTGACGGCCCACCTGAGGGAAAGTGGTAACCGTCGTCTATAGATATGAGCAGTACCACGGACATAACAGAGTATACTGTTACGCCCATGATACCCCCCATGCGTTGCCATTCCTGAGGACACAGGTGTTATTCCTCTGTACCCAATAAATTCACGCCACTTACTTTATTTCTGTAGTTGTGACAATCACGAATCGTGGCGTTTTTGTATGAAGTGTCCGGGGTCTGGTTTTATTTAATAGATAATAATGTTATGGTAACCCCAATTACGCTAAAAGTATATGCTGGCGGGGCACCAGTGAGAGATGATAGATGAGAACAAAAAGGCAGGCCAGTTAACACATCGTGGTGAATACACCTGGAATTCAGCACGATGGTTTCCAGGAGAGACCACGTAGAGGTCGACCTGACAGTGTATATTGCTAGCAATGGGACTAATAGTCTGTATAACTAACAATCCCTTCCCCCTCCAGAGTGTGGTAGTAAATATATGAAAATGAAATGGTAATCTGGTGAACTTTGATGTAACGGTCGAAATAAAGGTCAAGTGAAAACGTAATCCTCGGTCCTCTATTCATAACTAAACACAAAACGAAAGCGAGTCGCCACAGGGGATGTTTATAATGAGCGCCCATCTCCATATTTGCTGGCTTGTCGTTCCATATGTAAAATTCAGATTTGCGCCCTATGAAACCAGGGAATTTACATTTTAAGTCCCCACTGTGTCGTGCGCACTTCAGTTTATTTGAATATAATTTGTACGCTTCGACATGTTGAATCGTCTCGTTCTTTATTTGAAAGAATAATAAATAGAAAAGAAAAAAGAAGTAAATATAATTTATTTAGAGACATTAACATTAAAACGGGAACGCAATAGTTAAATAACAAAAAAAAAAAACAAGAAATTTTATTGTAATATTATGCAATTTGAGAAAAAAGAAGTCTCTCGATTCGAGGGTAATTTTGACTGTGTAGTGCTCTCTATGGCGCTATATCTCCCCCAAATATGTAAATCTTAGTAGTGTATTATTTTGTCACGATTTTAGTTACTGATTTTTTTTCTAGAACTAATTCTAAATTGGTTCGGATGATTCTTTATCTATACTAAAGAATTTCTTTGTTTGAACGTGTTTCTCTCTGGATTTAAAAAAAAAACCCTTTTTTCATTTGACAACCATTTAAAATAGCTTGCTTTTATGGTTATATTTAGTTTTGTGAACATCACAGAATTAATCTTCTTATTTTTTAATTATTAATTTTTTCAATTGTTAATTGTTTTGCTCATGCTCCCTCCAAATCAGCTTCGAGCTTATATTGTGTAAGTGTCCTACTTGTCTATCTTGCTTTAACATACTTATTATTATATTTTCTCTCTTATACTATTTCCAATCTATATTTTATGATCTTATGATATGTCTCTTTCATGTCATATCACTTACAAATTAGACAGCAAGAAAAAAGCGCAACTCCGAAAATCATCTCGCGGATACGCGTTAGTTCTATGTTCTATCATTATCATCAACATTTCAGCCTTTAAATGTCCACTGCTAAATAAACCTCCTCCTAGAGGGGGTTTTGCCAGTAGTTGCCACGCTTGGCAGGCGGATTAGCAACCGCAGTTAGGGTTTGGAGATGTTTTAAGAAGGCTCATCTCCCGCCCTCCCTTTGTCGCCTCTTACGACACCCACGTGAAAGAAAGCGGTAGCCTATTCTATGCCGGGACCACACGGGCAATGTTCTATGTATTTAACAAATTGTTTCCTCTTAATTAATCTTCTTATATAGGTACATCATTTTAATTAAACTCTGGGAGTACATAATTAACATTACATTAAGGTGACGCATACCATAGAAACTGGCAGCGCCTGTGTTACATGTCAAAATTTCAAAGATATTTTGAAACCATTTTAGAATATTGTTTGAATTTTAATTAATTTTATCTCCTTTTTGTTTTTTAATTAATTTCATTAATTTTTTTGTTCCTATAAAATATGTATGCATTTTTTTCTTCTCCGATATGTCATAAGAAATAACTATAGGAACACGTTGTTCCCGTATAAAATATACCAGTGCAGGAAAAAGAAGTCTGGATATAAAACTCTATTCTTAACCGCCTTGCTAACGCGGTAATACCTATTATTTAATGGATGACAATGGATGGACAACCCGCCTGCGCTAACGGTATACGCTGGTGAGACACCAGTGAGGGATGATAAGTGTAGTGAAAGGACAGGTCAGTTAACCTATCGTGACGAATACACCTGGAATTCAACACGATGGTTTCCAGGAGGAACCACGTAGAGGTTGACCAGACAGTTTATATTACTAGCAATGAGACTGGTAGGCCGCGTTACTAACAATCCCTTCCCTCCCCCCGGTAACAGCTATTAGGGTAAGGCTTCAATTCAATAATGCATCACCTACTTATTTCTCGGTTGACTGGTAGAGAACACCGTACGGTGTTGTTTTTTTTTATGGGTGAAAATGGAATGGTAACTCCGCCTGCGCTAACGGGATACGCTGGCGGAGCACCAGTGAAGGGTGATTGATGAGAATGAAAACAGGCCAGTTAGCCCATCATGATGGATTCATCAGGAATTAACCATGATAGTTTCCATTGGGAACCGCGAGGAGGTCGACCTGGTTGGTTATATTGCTAGCAATGGGATTCTTAGTCTCCATTACTAACAACCCCTTTCACCGTTCAATGTTAAGTCCGCCATATGTACATAATTTCACTGTGCATTAAAATTTAAATAAATAAAAAACAAATAAAGGAATAATCCCTTTCTGCTTAAAACGAGATGTGTTATAAATCAGTAGCTCAGAACTTAATAATTATAAAATAAGCTTTTACCACAGATGAAACTCTGTGGGTTTCAACCAAAAATTAGTACAGGTAAGCTGTCTTTTACCGACTGTTACATGTCTTAAACATACAAATATTGTATAAAAATACATATCTGAAACCTCTAAATTAACTTAGTCCTATTAGCATTTCGATTATAAAGATATTTTATTGCATGTAACATAGATATATACTTACTAAATGGAAAATTTATTTAAGTTTTCCAATATGTAAATTCGAGAGAGGCAACCAAATATTAGGAGACTAACTTTTGCTCCCGAACTTTAATTAAAAAGTATATATGGCAAGAAACGCTGAAACCTGACAAAATGATCTCTGGCTCGACGAACGATATTTAATGGGAAAAGATAAGATTCGCACAAGGGTATTACAGGACCCATTATTTAAAGGCTTAATCGCATTTCTACTATACCTAGCCGTCTTAGCCGTATTTATAGTCAGTTTTAATAGGTCGTATATAACATTATAAGCATAATTTTACGGTACTTCCCACTGTATTTTCAAACTACAGGATACTTTCTTTCAGATTGGAGCGATATCGCATCACGAAATCCAATCATACGGCAATTGCTCGTAAATTTTTAGGACCTCTGACGGCGTCATGGAGGTTCTCACCAGGGAATATTGTTTACAGGGTGACCTTGAGGGGCGTCTCACCTATGTAGCTGCACATGGTCGGTGGTGGCCGGGCTCCGGTGAGCGCGCGGCCATCTCTGGTTTCACGCAGGTGTCATCACAGCCCGGGCACGCACACTGCACCACACATATCAATCTCGGGCTCCTGTATTGGCGCAACAGACATGCGCTCCCCGCGGTGCCCGTTCATTCACTGAAAGCCCCGGGCGAGAGGTATAGATTGCGCAGGCTCGGACATGCGTTACCGATGCCAGCTCCCTCTGTTTTGGTCCACGCATCCTGCCGGGTTGGGCATGCAGACTCGGAGGTCACAAGGTCGTAGGTAAACTGATAGCCACCGATACGGTAAACACGATCCGTGTGATCTCCGTCTGAATGTAACGATATTACATTATGTCTCGCGAGTAATCGTCGAGCTGCGACTTCTTTGGGGATTAACGATTCGGGGAAACCCTACGATGAAATGTTGGAAAAATTTAATTATGGAACATAAAGATAGAATAGGTATTGAAAGGATTATTATAAGCTTAATTGTTGTAACATTGCTTAGGTACTTTCTAATTTATATTCGTGCAGTGACGAGGTACGAATACAATGGGTCATCACTCCCTTTACTCCTTACTAAATCGTAATACGAAACTAAGGGCATAAAACACAATAAATATGAGAGCCTTCCCACACTACCTACTACACTTTGATCTTAGCCAAAAGGCCGAAAAGCGATTGCCACACTACGTATTTTTTTTAAATGGATGATAATGAAATGATAACCCCACCTGCGCTAACGGTATATGCTGGTGGGGCACCTGGGAGGGATGGTAGGTGAGAATGAAAAAGCAGGTCAGTTAGCCTATCGTGATAAATTCACTTGGAATAGAACACGACAGTTTCCAGAAGGAACCGCAGGTAGTCGACCTGATAAGGTGTATTGCTAACAATGAGAGTACTAATCCCCATTTTTTTTAAATCTATTATCCCCCCCCCCCCCCCACAACCTACTAGTCTACTAGCTAGCGTGGTAATTTGTTTTTAATATCTCATAATGGGGAAAAGGGATTGTTAGTAATGGAGACTGAGAATCCTATTGCTAGCAATATACCTAACCAGGTCGACCTCCTCGCGATTCTCCCTGGAAACTATCATGGTTAATTCCTGATGAAATCATCATGATGGGCTAACTGGCCTGTTTTAATTCTCGTCTATAACCCTTTACTGGTGCTCCATCAGCGTATCCCGTTAGCGCAGGCGGTGCTACCATAACATTTTCATCCATCAAAAAAAAATGTCATAATGATAACCCAGCCTGTGCTATCGGTATACGCCGGTGGGGCACCAGTAAGATGATAGATAAGAATGAAACAGATGAATGAGCCCATAATGGTAAATTCATAAAGAATTAACCAAGATGGTTTCAATGCAAAACCGCTTGGAGGTCGATCTGATCCTACAATCGCTTTCCCCTTAAGAACTTAGAACACTTGAACCGTAAAGAAAAGCCCAAAGGAAACAATAGAAAGATGTGTTTTTCGAATTTGGCAAATAATTATATTAAAACTATAAATATGTGACCTGTATTCCACAGTAATAACAGGCAAATGTCTTTTTTTTATACAACTTAGAGTGGCAAACATGATGATGGCCCACCTGATGAAAAATGTAACCGTCGTCTATAGACATGAGCAGTACCATGGACATAACAGAGTATACTGTTTCGCCCATGATACCCCTTATGCGTTGCCATTCCTGAGGACTCAGGTGTTATTCCTCTGTACTTAGTAAATTCACGCCATATCCCACCCTTCAAACCGAAACACAGGCATGCAAAAACAGCTGCTTCACGGTTAAAACACTAATGGGACAAAGGTACCCAAGCAATCGACTTTTGTACAAAGTCTCCCTCTGGTAGACTCTGTCCTCTTCATATGGGAAGAACCTGTATCCAGTAGTGGATTTCATCATCATGCAAGTAACCTCCACGGAATAGATACTAGAGCGTAACAACCCCTCTACCTCTGACCAGGTATGGGTCTTGCAAATATGGCAAAAGAGGGAATCTTAATTAAAGCTGCTTATCGCCACGCTGGTCAAGTCATTTTTTTTTTTCATTTTAACCATTAACTGTCCACTGCTGAACATAAGCCTTCCCCACAAAGTGAAATTTGCCAATAGTTGCCCCGCTGGGCAGGCGGGTAGGCAGCCGAAGTTAGGCTTTTAGATGTTATAAGAGAGATGCTGCTGCCCATCCTTCGACCAGTAAGTTCCCTTAGTCACCTTTTACGACACACACAGGAAAGGAGGGGGTGACCCAATTTATGCTAGGACCACACGTCTACGGTCAGATCATCTAGGGTTGTAAATCAAGTTTACCGTCTCCTGTAGGAATCCCTTACAACTCCTACAGATGACTAGAAGTGGTGAGTGTATCAGTACATAAAGTATCCTATGTGCTATGTTAGGGTATAACCTATCTGTATACCAAATTTCATTTAAATCCGTTCAATAGTTTTTGCGTGAAAGAGTAACAAACATCCATCCATCCATACAAACTTCCGCATTACATTGTGTAGTGTATGGGATATTGAATCCTGTAAATATTATTACAGGATTCTATACAGTCATCGAACTATCCCGTGCACACCATATAGATCCATATGATAGATTTTTTTTTAATACACCATATAGATCCATATGATCGATTTTTTTATAATAGAATAGTACTGGCGGGGTAATAAATATTAAATAATAAATCAATCACGATAGTTTCCAGAAAAAAGAGCGTAAGATTACTAATCTCCGTTACTAACAATCCGTTCTCTCCCCCCCCCCCCCCCCAATAGAATGATAGATTAAAGAGGCGGTGCTCAGCAAATCAATACACCCATGACTGTAATCACCAGGAGTCGGAGTTCAGCTGGTCGATGGGTCCATGGATCCATGGGTTATTGTGGTGAACACTCGACATACGATATTTACTATTCACCAAACATATTAAAGTCTATTGTGGTGTTGGGTGAGCCTTCCGCCGCCACTCGAACAAATTTTTATTTTATATTAATTTAAATCGACCACACAAAGTTTTTCAGTCGATTTCCAAAAGAAGGTGATTCTCAAATCGGTTGTATTTTCTTTTTTATATTTGTCTCCTCATAATCCGACAATTGTAAACCGATTTAGAAAATTTTCTTTTTTTTTCTGACAAAATATTACAGATAAGTCCCGTAAATTTTTTATTTATTTTTGTTCTAAAGAGATATATTTACAGATTAATAGTTTTCTTACAAATTTTATCAAAATCGAATCAGTAGTTTGGTTTTTAGATAAAAACAACTGAGTTTGTCACATTTGAAGTCGGATTTTTTATGGGTTTATTTAAATATTGTGTCGGTCAAATAGTCGCTTTACGGGACCCTTGCACACTGTGTTGTTGTTTGTAACGGACCACGAGACCAATTCTCGATTTACATAATTATAAGAGTATCAGTAGACCTTTTCTTCTTTAAAAATTTTATATGTATCTAAGTTCCTTTAAAAAATATAATTTATTTTTTTAATACAGGGTACTTAAAAGAATTTAAGTACACTGTATTAAGGAAGACATAGACAAAGAGCGATATTTATCCCATAAATACTAACACAACACTTCCATCTGTCAACTTAGTATGAGACATTGAAAATTTTTTAACATTTTCTCATCCATATTTCTTGGAGAAAAATATTTAATTACTAATAAAGCCAAAGTCGATGTATTTTTCCTAGCTGCCCGTGATCTGGTTTTTCTGAACGTAGCCTCCTTTGACGATAACAAAAAAGTTCAACGAACATCCGCACTGTTCACTCCATAGGCAAAGGATTGTTAGTAATGGGATCTAACTACCCCCGTACCCCATTGCTAGCAATATACTTTATCAGGTCGACCTCCACGCGATTACCCCTAGAAACCATCGTGGCTAATCCTAGTAAAATTTGCCACGATGGACTAATTGACTTGCTTTTATCTTCATCTATTCCTGGTGCCCTGCCAGCGTATGATATTATTATTTCATTATCACCCATTAAAAGATTGCATAGTCGAATATAATACGACCCTTTACGCCTCACTTAGACCTCAGCACCTCTTTTGGACGTCAACGCCCACCTTGAAGCCCCTGGAAACATTATGATTAATTCCTAATGAATTCGTCACAATAAATCAATTAACCTGCTTTTATCCTCGTTTTTAATTAATCCCCTAAGTTTGTATTCCGTTATCAGGTGGAATTATCAGCCATTAAGAAAAAACAGCGTACATTTTAGTCCTCTCATAAGAAAATCCCTAAAATTGTATCCCATAACGTTAATGTACACTTGTGGAAGGATCTACATGGTTAACACAAATATGAATTTTGTCTGCAAACAAAATATGAGTACCAATCCATCGTCTCCGTAGGGCTCAAAAAAACATTTATAATATAACCTGGAATAACAAAACAGCTGATAGCACACAACTGAAAAGCCATGAATAATTTAATATGGTAGTACTTAGTATTTGTGTAGTGTTTACTATTAAAGAGAATTAACACTCTGTCTAAAGGATTTGATACATTATAATTTGTTTGGTGCTATTAAATCATAACAAATTTAAATAGTTAAATTGTCAAAACTACTTTTATTATATTGAAAAATATCGCCCTTAACGAATTTTTTTCTACGTTAGAAGAAACGCATAAGACAGACATTTCGTATAATGTTGCCAGCATTGAAAACATGTTAAATCATTATTATTCGTGTAACTGATTTTACTTTTAGTTTTAATTGCATGTCGTGATAATATTCGCAATAGAAAACAGCCATAACTATAAAATTATTTAAAACAAAAATAAAAAAGGTAACACATATTTGTTGGTAGATATATTTATTTATTCATATGACAACACTATATTAAATTTTCTTTTTTATTTCGGTTCTTTGCCGTGTTGTTTAGGGTACGTTGTTTAATCTTTAAAAATCATAGTATTACTGCAATTTTTACTTTTAAAATCTTAGAAGTATACTTTTACGATATATTTCTCGTTACGAACAATGATTATTTTCTACTTCACGAATCTTAATAATCAAAATGTTCACCGGGGCATTTTGACGTTTAGCACGCATAGGGAGACGATAACCTAAACATTTGGTGGTATCAATTAAAACGTGTTATTTTGGATTTTCAGCGAAGAGCGTCGGAATGAAGTACAATAAGCTCGTCACATCCTCCCGGAGGAAAAACAGGAAGAGGCATTTCAGCGCCCCTTCACACATTAGGCGAGTTCTTATGTCAGCTCCTCTATCCAAGGAATTAAGGCAGAAATTCAATGTAAAATCTATGCCAATCCGCAAAGATGATGAAGTTCAGGTACGTTTTTATTGTATTGTTTTCTATTATATTTGTAAAACATGTTTACAATAACATATAAATTGAATTTACATCGTAATCTTAGTGCAAAATAAAATGATGAAGACAAACCATTCACAGACTGCTGACTATTGCTGGCTAGTGACGGACGAGCTGAAGGTTTTCTTTAGTGAGTCTGAAACATGCCATGCTAGTCAGTGCCGTGGTTCAAAAATTGGCTCTGATTATTTTGCCTCTATAAAATCTTATATATTATTTGTAGTCACATGTTCTCGATATAATACATATCACTAGTTCTATAAATAATTATGTATGTAATAAGTACGCTAATAATGCAGACTTGCAAAATCAATCATAAATTCTTACATTTCTTTATTTTATTGTTCTGAAGCATTCTTCTATATTGAAGCATTCATCTTCTAAATTGCCTTTATACTGTCTAATACAAGTGAAAATCCTTAAAAACTATATATGCAAATTGTATTTAGTGTTAAATAAAATTAATTTATGATTGACCTCAAATGTGCTTAACTTGTACATAAAATGGGGCTACCGTTCCATTATCATCCTAAAATAAATAAAAATTATAAATTTAGTACAACATTATACACTTAACAAATGTTGATGCTATGATTAAATATCAAATTTTATAATTATTAATTTATTAAAATTTGTCAACTAATTAGATAATTTCAACCTACCCATTGTCCATTTCAAAAATAAGGCATCCCATAGTTTATTATATTGAATTTTACACCAGTATAATTACTTAAGTAAATAATATAATAAATTATTCTCAGGTTGTCCGTGGTCACTTCAAAGGTCAGCAGGTCGGCAAAGTGGTCCAAGTGTACCGTAAAAAGTTTGTAGTGTACATTGAGAGGATTCAACGTGAAAAGGCCAACGGTGCCAGTGTATATGTTGGCATCCATCCCTCAAAGGTAAGACACCAGAATTGTTTCGAACTATTTATTTTTCCATGTACTTAGAAATTTTACAGACTTTAGTTTGTGTGATCAAATCATTTATCAATCAATCATTTATTTGCATAAACAGGTATTTTTATAAATTTGATGTTTTATAATGTGTAGAGAGCTATGTTTTACCATCATTGGTCATTGAAATATTTGTATTACATAATGTCCCTTAAATTATAATATTTAACAATAACAAATACAATAATAATTATGTCAATTCTATTTACTACTATCAAAACTTGAACTTAATAATCAAAATACATTAGGTATTTTATATTTATAATTTTTTTAATCTTTTAAATTCTCAGTCATGTATTCCTTAATGATATAATAGTCTTAGGCTTTATGCAAAAACAATTTCTTAAATTCTTCTTCGAATATATCTGTATTATTTATATCTTTAATATATTATGGCAGTTTATTTTTAAATCCATATAGAATATATTATTATTGAATAGGGCAGGTTTTACATTTTGCTATTTTTATACTTGGTCAGTTTATATATTTGCAAAAAAACTGCAATCTCTATTTATACTTTAAGACATTGCAATCTTTAGTACCAAATACTAAATTTGTAAAGATATTTTCATTGACAATTTATTCTATGATTGCCATTATACAGCAATACAAAATCACTTAAGAAGTATTATTCAGCAATATTTAAAACTATTTACATCTTATAAAAAAAAATTAAATTAGGCTACTTATTTTATTTAAAAAGACTGCAAATAAGCACCATGAGTCACCTAATACAAAGTGGTAACTGTTACATATATTGATACACTAGCTTTTAATACATTATCACTACCATACATGGATATCACAAAATATACTTCTGTATATTATTAAAATAATTATTTTATACTCCCATTCACTATTTTTTAAATATTGTTTTATTCAGTTTTTATTTTCAAATAAAAGCTGAAAATATACTTTTGACTGGCCTATTTGATAAGTTTACTTTCCACATTAATATTTTTTATTTGATACCGTAACTCTTGTTTATTTTTATAACATGAAAAACTACTACATTCCAAGTAAAAATTAACCAAATCCATTAGTGTATATAATAATGAGAAATAAACAGTATCATGTGGGTTGATACAAGAATTCTAATAATACTCCATATATTCAAGTTTTTTTTTTATTTCATTTATTCATTATAATAATTACACTATAATTAGTTCAGGCATTTAGAATTTGGAAAGAAGAAACACATAATTATATGAATTTTGAATACATTACACTTTTGGCTGTTGTTTAATTAACATGTCGATAATTTAGATACTGCAGTCTTGTTCTTCAAATGTGATGATAACTTTAATACTTAGACTATGCCTTCATTTCTTATGGACGCCCAATGTAACAACTGACGGCTGAAGTTTGAATGGACATGGCTACTGCTGAGACACTTCCATGGCTCTGATTTAATAATAAAATTCATTATCTAATAATAATATCGAATATGAACATAGTCTAAAATCTGGAACTTTTTTCAGTGCGTAATCGTCAAATTAAAGATGAACAAGGACCGAAAAGCCATCCTGGACCGCAGAGCGAAGGGCAGACTCGCGGCCCTCGGCAAGGACAAGGGTAAATACACTGAGGAGACCGCCACAGCGATGGAGACCTCGTGAACCCGTAGATTTTAAGATAAATAAAAACATAAAAAGCAATTCTGTTTTTCTTTTTGCATTCTATATATACAAGAATATTGGCTAGGGATACAATTTATATACCGCTGATATGGCAAACAGATACACCACTTATCAGCTAGGGAGGAAAGGTATTGTTAGTAATAAAGATCTAATAACACTATTGCTAGCAATATATTGTATCAAACCGTCCTCCATGCGGTTCCCCCTGGTACCATTTTGGTTAGTTAACTGTCCACTGCTGAACATAAGCTTTTCCCATAAGGGGATTGGGGTTGCTAGGTTTTTTCTAATGGAATGGTAACCCCGCCTACCCTAACGGTATACTCTGGCAGGGCAACAGTAAAGGATGATAGATGATAATGAAAAGGCAGATCAGTTAACCCATTGTGATGAGGGAGGAAAGGGATTGTTAGCAATGGAGTTCGACAACCCCATTGCTAGCGATATGCCTTATTAAGTCGACCTCCACGTGGTTCCCCTGGAAACCATCGTGAACAATTCTTGTTGAATTCGTCGCGATGGGCTAACTGACCTACTTCATCCTTCACTGGTGCCCCGCTGGTGTATACCGATAGCGCGGGTTGGGTTACCATTCCATTATAATCCATTAAAAAAAACTTGTGATGAATATATCTGGAATTCAAACAACGGTTTCCGGGGGAACCGCGTGGAAGTCGACCTAACAGGCTATATTGCTGACCCACCTCCATTCTCACCTGTCTTCTCTTACTGGTCGTCCGCCAGAGCATACCGATAGCGTTGACAAGGCTATCATTTCATTTTCCGTCAATAAAAAAATACTTCCGTCCTCTATTATCGTGCCACCGTGTATACTGATGAATTGTAATTCAATTTCTTGTAAAACTACTCATAATTTAAAGTCTGTTTATCGCGGCTTCTTTTTTTTATGCAACTTAGCATGGCAAACAAGCTAATAGTCCACCTGATGGAAAGTAGTAACCGTCGCCTATAGACATGAATAGTACCATGGACATAACAGGGTATACTGTTTCGCCCATGATACCCCCCCATGCGTTGCCATTCCTGAGGGCACCGGTGTTATTCCTCTGTACCCTATAAATTCACGCCTATGTCCCACCCTTCAAACAGAAACAAAGCTTTGCAAAAACAACTGCTTCACGTTAGAGATACGACTGGAAAAGAGGTGCCCAAACACGACTTTTGTACAAAATCTCCCTCTAGTTTCAATGTATGTACACAATTTTGTTCTCGTAGAAGTTTCAAACGTGTATTATATATAAAATATTGGGATAAAAGAAAAAAATGCGAAGGTACTTAAAAAAATTTATTGATATAAAATGTATGAGTAATTGAGCACCTCATGCGTTCTCATTATTATTTAGAATAGTCTTGTTTAACATATAAACGAGGCTTAAGGCGAACCAACATTAACCAAGGCTTTCTTTGCCAGATGTAATGGATTAGTAGATCGAGGCATCGGTGATTGCTCCGGTAGTATGTACACTAAAATAGGAACAATACAGACAGGCGTATTTAGGGAGAGGAGGCATGCCACAATTGTTTGATACTCACCCCAGAATTAGAAGTGGAACTTTCATTAGAATACATTTACGCCTTTTAAAAGGCCAACCCTCCAACCCCCTGACCCATCAACCTAGTATGATCTCTGTGCAAATTTGATACGTAAAATCGTGAAGCGTTCTACATTTTTCCCTCTGCTGATGGCATTTTAGAACGGTATATGCTTAATCCGACAATTGGATCATCTACTACCCCCTACGAGGTGCAGGTACAGACCTCGAGTTAAAAATTTTTTTGTGGTTTTAAAGACCCGGGCAATACTGCGGTGGCTTACCGCCATTGCGTCGTTTATTTAGGCGCAGGGGGCCCAGCCTGCACTATTACAAAGCGCCATCTATGGGGAATAATAAATATAAAATATCGCGACCTGCATGGTACACGTCAAGGGAGCGTGCGTGCAAACGGTCGACAAATTTCTCCACCTTTGCAACCCATAAGTCGCGTGAGATAATAATGTTCCTGACATATCGACCAGCATCTAGGCACATTCGCAGAGCGAGGTTCTGCTAGGACTGCAGTCTCCATCTACGTGACGGCTTGGTCTCACAGGTTAAAATTACAGACGTAAAGGCTGTAAGCCTTCGCAGAATGCCCAAGAAAAAGGTACTATACACTCGAGACCCGTATTTAAGGAATGCAGATAACCACCAGTACACAAGACTTCGGAGTCGATACTGAGATGCCATTCTCTAAAAATCAAACTTTAGTTTTTTATTATTTAAGTCAACATTTATATCATATTTAACATAACGCGATAAAAAACCCTTTGCAGATAAATAGTACCTACATACGTGCTTCTGTATTACCGACGTTTCGACGTGGATTGCACCACGTCGTGGTCACGACAGGACTGAAGTGACCGAGTATGTATTTAAAATATGCGTAAACTTTCGCGTTGAAAGTTTAAAATTTATATCATAAAATATTACTTTTACAAAACTATTAAATATAAATTTTAAAGACAGGTTTAGAGAATAGCGACTCAGAATCGGCCCCGCTCTGCGGTAATAAAAATATTACCATTCGTTATCCTACTGTATCCCCCTGTAGACAAAATACAAACGAGTCTATTGATAGAATCATTATCGCTAGCGAGTTTATATAATAGAATAAGATAACGACATGGTCTTGTCCTTTCTCATGTGAGACTGTACAATTTTTTCTTTTGTATTTTTATTTTGTACAATTTATTCATTTGTACGATGTATACATTTGTACCTTGTCCAAGGGGACTGATAATTAGCGGAATTAAATTACCCATGTAAGTGCACCTTTACAACCATAGCCAAATTCGATTATTTTTTAGGCCATAGTTAACGAAAGTCGTAATTGGTCACTCCCTAGATCAGGCCCTGCTGGGGTCCGATTCAGGGGACGTCAGCTGGAAATGAAGTCACTTAGAATGCTCATTCATTATAAGGGCGGCAAATATTTCTGCCCAAAGCGGCAAAATAACCCACTAAGACTTTCGAATTTAACTTACTCTAATGAATATCTTGATATATGAGATTGGTATACATGAATCTAATTATTGCTAAGTCTATCAGGCTGATTAACAATTCTAATGAGTCTTCTTCTCAACTATCAATGATAAGTATGTCGCAAAACTGCAAATTTCACTGCACACTGCACTTAATATTACATAGCTGTGTTGTTATATAAAATGTAATAGATAAAGGGCACTACACATTTGCTGAGATTGCTAGCTGAATATATATATATATATATAGGGGGCAAACGGCTCACCTGATGGTGACTACCGCCGCCCATGATCACCCACAACACCAGTGGCATTACAGGTGTGCTGCCGGCCTTTTAAAAAGGAATATACTATTTGGTGAGAAAAAGAAACCTTTTTCTAATCTCTTATTACACTCACTTGCGTCGTGTTTATTTGGTAGTTAGACTGTCTCATGTGATGCATTTACACTCATGTTCAACAATTGACAGCGTTCTCAGCAAATGTATTGTAGTTGGCTCATAAAACTAATTTATATTCAGAGATATAGCTGACACTTGCAGGTCCCGTGGTGTGGAAGAGCTCCAGGCCTCACTAAAGCTCCTGACTACAGTAACGTTCCATGGTGCCAAATTAAAAGCATTGAAATACTAACTGACAAAGAATTTTCATCTTTACTCTCAGTCCTCAGCTACACCAATGTATACGAGGTCTGTCCGGAAAGTTCGTATAAAAGTGTTCTGGAATGCGAGAAAGAGGAGTGGGGAGGCCAGGTAAGCGCAGGACCCCTTCCTTATGTCCCTAACAATGCTTCAGTTCTGGTCTGACCGCCGTGCGGTGCGAACTGACTTGTCACGCCATCTGTGAAGTTACCTCTTAACGAAACCCCGTCGGCATGGAGCCCGCTTCCGTTGAAGAGCAGCGCGTCGTAATCAAGTTTCTCTCGAAACTCGGCAAGAATGGCCGTGAAATTTTTGCCGATCTCAGAACAGTTTATGGGGATGATGCTGTGAAGGAACCAACCGTCCACAAGTGGCTAAAAAGATTCAGAGAGGGCCGAGACAATGTTGATTGTTTTTTTCGATGTTCGGGGGATTGTCCATCAAGAATTCGTCCCTCCAGGCCAGACAGTTGATGGAAAATTCTACGTCGATGTGCTCAGACGCCTCAAAGCTCGTGTGGCACGAGTTCGTCCAGAATTGGCGCGAGAGGGGCGTTGGATTCTTCACCACGACAATGCCCCTGCCCACACCTCTCTTGTTGTCCGTGAGTTTTTGAGTAAAAATTCCATTACGGTGACCGAACACCCCCCTATTCGCCGGATTTGGCCCCGTGTGACTTCTTCTTGTTCCCAAAAACCAAATTGGTACTTCGGGGGCGGCATTTGGGGGACATAAATGAGATAAAAAAAGCTACGACGGGGCAGCTGAGAAACCTACAACCAGAGGACTTTCAAGGAGCCTTCTCACAGTGGAAACGGCGTTGGCACAAGTGCATTATGTCACAGGGGGAGTACTTTGAAGGGGATAAAATTGATTTACCTGAATAATTGTAAAATAAAATTTTTAAAAAACTTTTATACGTACTTTCCGGACAAACCTCGTATAATTGTATCATTATTATTTTTCTCAACTTATCCTTGCATTTAAGAGTATGAGAACAGGCTTACTGCCGACTATCTTGTAGCCTTGAGTCTCTTAATTTATTTATTTCTAGTTATTGCAGATTAAGAACTGACAAATTATGGAGTAGGTGATGTAGCAAATTTTTATAAATTTATATATACTGACTAATTATTATTAGTGATTATATTACTGGCAGGTTTATGCATTATTATCATTTAATAATATGTTGTTATACAACTACTTCAGCTTTATGTCCCTGAGCTGCCATGTTCGCTTTGGAGGCACATTTGTACCGCTTCTTCACTTCATTATTCAGACCTTCCTTGTTTCTTGCTATTTCTATCGCGTAGAACTGTACTCGAGGCACTAATATCGTATTTTGTTCCGAGTAATCACCCTTCGTGTCCGCTCTCATTAGCGTACCAAAACTGTAATCCTCCACAATGGTTTTGAATTTCTCACAGAACGCCCGCCATTTTGCTTTGTTCATATTATTTTTTATTTCGTCCTCTTTGATGTACGAGACATTTAGATCGGGGAAGTCTTGTCTGAAATGTGTATGTATGAGATCGTCGTGCGGTGTCAATCGAAGCCATCTTGTGTCCACTGAACATAGAACCTGTAATTTGAATTAATGAATAAAAACTATATCAAAAAATATAAAAAAAAAACAAGCACTATAAGGAAATAATGGGTGGTCTAATTCTTTAATAGCGTAGGGGAAAGGTCACGATGGATCAAGTGACCTGGATTCGTCCTATTATCACTGACTAGTGCCCCATCAGAGTTTAATAGTTTTTATAACATTAATGAATATTTTACTAACAAATGTACTTGACAACCTATACTAAAAGATGTAATGTATTTTCTGTTTATTGTAATAAATTATTTTCATTGTTTCTGCCTACCCTAATGGGAGACAGGCGTGACAGATATGTATGTATGTAATACATTATGTATGTATTGATTTATATGACTAATGAAAAGAAATATAGTATAGAATAGATGCAAATTTCTGACATTGTTAATAATTTGCACGCCAACATAGAAGCAGAATGTATATGGGAAATGTAAACCTCTTTCATCTAAAACTACCTATATTCTAGCAAAATAATTTCATTTCATTTCAAAGAATCCTAAATAGCAATATCTTTTGGGTGATCTTATGATCAATAGCAATCATGGCTATACAATATTGTCAGCATAGAAATAACAGTGAGTATTACATTAAAATAAATGTCACTATGTTCCATTGCTCTAGCAGCCCACAAGTGCTCCACTGTCTCGTCATTGGTGAATTCCTCGGCTGGACGTGAAAGGACATCCTGAAAATAATAAATTTACATTAACCTTCAAGTGGGCACCTGATGATTTGAAAGTACAGCACTTATGCTTTAAGACCTATAGGATATTTCAGAGATTTAAAGCACTAATTTATTTATTTTAATTACGTTTTGTATTCTGAATACAAAAAATATATATTATTAATTTTTATATTAAAATAGAATATTTATTAACATTATATCTTTATGCTAAGATGCAATTAGTTGAATAAAAAAAAAGAAAACTAAAAAACTAAATATAATGAAATACAAAGTTATAATATCAAACAGGTTATGTTAACTCAAATTTCTTTAAATTAATTAGAGACAAAAGTGTTTTCTCATTCATCTTCAACTTTATGTAACATAAATAATAAAAAAAAAAGATTAACTCCATAAGTTAAAAAAATATATTAATTTTATTATAAATTAAGTATTAAAATTTCACTTAAATAAAAATTAATATAATGATATAAATACTTTAATTAATATTACATTAAAGTATTTAATTAAAATATTTATCATGATAAATTTAGTTTTCAATATCAATTTCTTTATCTAAATAATATTAATTACACAAGAAAATAATATGGATGCTACAAATATTTTTCAGATGATTTATTTATTTATTTAAGGAACACCAACAGCATATTGCATTATAACATATAGGTATAACAACATTAAATACAATACAATATTAATGCGCATGCCTATTATAGGTATTCACAGCATTCACTTTAACATAATTATACAGTGTAAGAAATTTAAGTAAATAATAAAAATAAACATGTAATCTAAGTTGTGAGCAATATCAGAAAATAAGATTATGAGTGAGTTAAATTAAAAAAAAAAAATATTAAAAATGATGATATACAAGATAGACAGACCAACTGACAAACTTAATAATAAAATTGTTTTTTCTATACAGATCACAATTAGTAAACAATTTAAACTTTAATAAAAATAAGAGTGGTTAAAATAAATATTTGAATTAAAAATATGTTTATGAATGAATGAATTTATTTGCATTATACAATCTTAGGAAATAAGCAAGAAATTTAATAAATATACAGTATAGATACAGTTGTATGGGGGGGTATCATTGGTGAAATGGTATACTCTCTTATGTCCATGGTACTGCTCATATCTATACACAATGGTCACCACTTTCCATCAGGTGGGCCATCAGCTTCTTTGCCATTCTAAGTTGCATAAAAAAAAGTTGTATAAGTACAGTAAGAAGATATTATTACTGAAAGCAATCTTTTCAAGACAATGATAATGGACTAAATATTGTACATGTTAAGATTATATATTAATTGAGTCAAGTAAAAATAGAGAAAAGAAAAAAAGCTGAAATGAAATTAATTAAACAGGTCAAATGTTTTTATAAATAAGAAAGTGAACCAATGCTTATAGATAGAAATAAGAGCAAGAACAGACTTCCACCCATGGTATTTTCAAGCATTGATCATATATGAGAATTACAAACTAAGTGTTCTCTTTTACGTAAGTGAATAAACTGGCTTCTTTATTTTTCAGATCATTAGGAAGTATGTACAGTTACCTAAGAACAATTTACACAATTTAGTAATAATTCACTGTAGACTAGTGGAACAAAGTTTTTTAAATAAATATCAATGTAATAAACACAATCCGGTATAACTTGCGCTATATTGCGCAAGATTTGTTTACATTGTATGTATGATTACAGAATTTATGAAAAGTAAAGCCCTTTGTACGAAGCAAAATAAATTATGTCGGGCCGAATTCCTAGTATTTCAGCTCTAAAGTTGGTGTTGTATTGTCCACGATCCGGATCTTAGTTTAGAGGCTTATAACTTTATAATCAATACAGATATATCCAAATAATAACAACTAACCATTTTATTTTATACGATGTAAAAAATTACGAATCAAAACGGACAATTTATACAAATATTAAAATACAACACGTGTAAACATTTTATTTTTGGTTTTAATAAATATCGTAGAAGTACCAATTGTAACTTTGACAATTTCTTTGAAAAAAAAAATTAAAGACGTTCAGAAACTTAGCCCTTCGTAAACGATTAACTGAAATTCATCACGTATCTATCGTCGCTCATTTCGTTAAATTAAATGGAGCTATTCCGTCTTTGTCTTACGAACAAAAGGCAATATAGTATACTTGATAGTCTAAAGAGCCCATGACTAATACTGAAACAATAAAAAATACCTACTACACATTTAATAACTTGGCCTCGATTAATTTTATAAATTACTAGCTTTTACCCACGATTTCATCTGCGTGACCAAGATAAAAAATAACCTAAGGTATCCTTCTACATTCCATATAGTACATGTACACTAAGCTCTTAAGACGATATAATGTAAAAAACAAACAAACGAACAAACTCACTTTCACATTTATAATATTATTTATTTATTTTATTTTACTTGTGTTTTATTATACACAGTGATAATACAAAAAATATGATAAAGGTAAGTAAATGTACAAAGGCGAACTAAACTCTAAAAGAGTTCTTTTCCACGAAATCCAAAGTGCAAAGAAGTATCAATGTCAGCGGGTAGAGCGGTCTAAAATATTGTGACAATTTTCGAATTGCCGACAAAAAGAATTAGACAAACTTAAGTTTTTATTTTTTAGAGATTGACTCACATCCGCTATAGCGCGTAGACGTGTGAGAAGGAATTTTGAGAGTAAGAGACTTCATCGAACGAGAGAATACATCATGGGGAACTACGAAATCAAATCGTTCCCGAAGATAGGATAGAGAAATGGATACCCATCTTCTCTATCCTATCCTATATAATAGAAGAAGAACGAAATATAAAAACGACATTATATGAAAATCTCGTCGCCTTTGAATTGGTAGCCATTTCAATTGTGTTCTATAAGCATACTCGTATTTACACAAACTATAAATAAAACGTATACATATATTTTGTAATCTTTCTAATTTGTACAAAAGCTCATCAGCAACATCAAGATAGGATGCAGCGTAATCAAGAAGAGGTAATAATAAGGCTTGTGCCAAAGTAATCCTTGTCTCAAATTTTAAGAAATTTTGGAGTCATTTAAAAGATTGAAATGAAAAACATAGCCATTTATTTACCCCATTAATGTGTTCATTCCAACACAAATTGCAATCAATCACAATACCTAATGGAGACTAAGAGCCCTATTGCTTACTGATGCATGAAGTTTTGCGGGAGACTAATAATATTATTTTATAATTAAATGTTTTATTACGTACAACGTTACAGAGAAGATTTTCAGTGGCAGGTCAAAAGTTATATTATTTTTCTAATTACTTGAGCTATTGCTTACTCATAATTTAATGGTTTTCTTATACTTATTCTTATATTATAGTACATTTACATACTTATAAAAGAATATGCACATGTCCTAAAAATGACACTAATTTCTCCAAGTCCGTTTCACTTTTCTTAGTATGGCGTTGTGCGCCGTCTCATTTTGAAGAAGTGACTTGACACATCCAGTGTAGGGAAATGAAACTATAATCCTCTAATTGGGGGAGGGGGGTTCGGATTGCAGACTATATAACATAATTTATTTTATTACGTACAAACGGTTGTACTTTTCATAAATTCTTTAATTATACATACAACATAAACAAATCTCGCGCAATAATAACTTGCCAGATGCTCATTAGATTATTATTTACTTAAAAAACTTTGTTCCACTAGTTCACAGTTAATTGTTAATAAATTTTGTTCATAATGTGTTTGCAATTCAATGTTTATATCTATAATCTGAGTGCAAAAATATATTAAGTATCTATTTTTCAGATAACTATATATACTTCCTATTGATCTAAAAAGTAAAAAAGCGAGTTCATTTACTTACATAATAAAGAGTTCAACATTGTCCATTTTCACTATTTAGATATTTATGCAAAGGCCAAATATAATGATTATATATCTGTGATATAAACTAATTTTCTAATTGATTAAAGTCAAAATTATTATTATTTTGGTTTATGATGGTTCATAAAGTAGTAATTTTGTGAATATATCAAATTAAGTTATTTTTTATTTAACAAAAGATAGCTTTAGAGAATGAAGCCTTAGAATCAACCCCGTTGCAAAGGTGATATTCTAGTTCTCGATTAATTAATTTCTACTTTTTTATGTCACATTGTAGATCATTGTGCCTTTAAGACAGCGACGGAGCTATACTGTATTATTTATTTAATAAGCTGCAATAGAGTTAAAACATTGTAATTGTTGATCGTGTACGGAGTTAAAGCTTTAATTTCTGAACGTAGAGTCATCACGCATGAAAAATGAAATGGTGATATCTATCTCGTGAAGGACAGAAAGAGATAACGTAGTCGGAAAAATTCGCTTGAGCTTCGTGTCGTCATTCATTTTTGATTGGACAATAGGGAGAGAGGGTGGCGCATGCGCGTTCTGCCGACGCCATCTCTGAACCTACTGTACCTATTATGTACTTGTTCCAGAGTCAAATGAATGCTAATTCGTGGTAAAAACTTTAGTCAAATGATGGAATTATTGTGCCGCGAGTGAGAATAAGTGTTTGTTCACAGTGTTCTATTTGTGTAGTCTCTTTTTAGGGACTAGGCCAACGGCGTATCGTATCTTGCGGAAGTTTCTTGGCCCATAGCATCGCATATTTTTTGCGGCTATCTCTGCCGCGGCCGTCACACTGGGATATTTCATGGGCGTTTATCATCGAAATATCTAGTGGTAACTTTCCTTAGCTTAATTATTGTCTTTATCTTAATCAACAGTAGAAAGTCCGCTCCGAGGCGGGCAATGCTATCCCCGCGTTCTTACGCGCGTACTGCCTATACATACATTATGTTTAAATTATTGTTGTGGGTCAAAGACATCTCGGTGTGTTGAGTAGTGACAGCGACGGCAGTAAACGCGCTTACTTTATGTTTCAGCTTGTGTATCGTCACTCGGGCGGCGTTGAGACGCGTTTGATATGAATTCTGCTTTAAAGCCGGTGTTGCCCCAGCCGGGGGTGCCGCAGCCGGGAGGTCAAGCGAGTCCGGCCAAGGGGAACGTGGCGAGTGTGAACCACGCAGTGGGCCACCCGCAGGGCGCGCAGAACTCTCTACACCACGGCACCAATAACCTGGTCGGCCAGAACTTGACTCACCACGCGCCCGCGCCGCAGTTGCCGCCGCACCCCGTGCCGTCCATGGCGCCGGTTTCTGCCAACATGGCGCAAATGGCACAAAATATGAGTCACCATGGCAACCTTTCTCATGTCACTCAGAACTCAGTTCCCCCTGCAAACTTGGTTGCCAGTCCTAATAAAAGTGCAAGCACCAGTGCACCACTCAGTTTGGTGCAGGACAAAGCTAACACTTCACAGCCCCTTGCATTGACCCGCACTCCTGAGAAGAAGGAGCCTGATTCCACAGGTCATGCAAATGGTACAATGGAGTCTCCAAAATCTGGATCTAATGCTCCTACTGCTTTAAAACCACAGAACCCTGAGCCTAATAAAGAGAAGCAGGATATTGCTAAGACGTCTCCTAGCACACCAAAACCTCCTGAGAAACCAAACAGCGCACCGAGTACACCACAAAAAACGGAAACCACTAATCCCGTAGGCCAAACCGATGGTCCAGCTCAACCTAAAGTGGCCACAGCTAATGAACAAGTTGAGAAGGCTCCTAAGCCAACAGAGTTGAAACCTGCACCGGCCGCAGATATTGCACCCACACAAAGTGACAATAAGCCTGTGCCAGAATCTGCAAATGACAGTCAGTTGCAAGAGAAAACTGTCACACCTCCTAAACAAGATGATGAGCAAAAGGTAGCTGTAGCTGAAAATGCTAAAGTTGAGAGCCCAGCTAAGCCAGAAGAAAAGAAGGAAGAACCTAAAGTAGAAAAGCCACAAAACACTATAGAAGGAAAGAAAGAGGATGTCAAAGTTGATAAACCTGAGACTACAAAGAAAGAGGAGGTGGAACCACAGAAGACAGAGGAGAAACCAGAGGAAAAGAAACCTGAGGTTAAGGCACCCACCAAAACAGAAGTGAAAGTTACTCCCAAGTCGACACTGAAGTTGGCTACAGTGACACCTCCGATGAGGAAAAGGCGTCAAACCTCCCCAGGCAAGTCCGTCGATGGTGCCAGCTCAGCTAAGAAACCTGCTGAGGGTGATGCTACACCTGATGCCAGGTCAAAGAGGAATAGAACTCAGGTTAGTTATTACAATTAATATCTGTTTGCTTTTGTCCTTTTTTACTCGAGGGAGACTTTGTTCAAAAGTTGTTTGTTTGGGTACTTCTGTCCCATTTGTGTTTCTACCATGAAACAATGGTGTTTGCATGGCTGTGTCAGGATATGGCAGTGAATTTACAGGGTACAGAGGAATAATACTTTAGTCCTCAGGAATGACAATGCATGGGGGGTATCATGGGTGAAACTCTCTCTATAGAGTATACTCTGTTATGTCCATGGTACTGCTTATGTCTATAGGTGATGGTTACTACTTTCCATCAAATGGGCCGTCAACTTTTTTTGCCATTCTAAGCATAAAAAACTAGTAAATAATTTTGTAATTTTTTTTATCTATATTACACTGCACAAGTGCTCCGCAAACAAATACATATAGCAACTTGTTGCTTTGTTTTGCTTGATAAAATTAATATGAAATTAGCCTAGGAGTAGTAAAACCTGTTGATTGAAAAACAATTACAATTTTAATTGTTTAATATTCCAAAAAATGTACACAGACGGTTTAATTCTTAATTTTTCTCATCAGAGAATCCTCTATTATACATTGATTTGATTTTTAACATCAATATTTATGTCCAAACTTTATGTAGAGTTATGTTAGAATTAACTTTTTTTAAACAATGTAAATGCTAAAGTACCTAATTACCTCTGGCACTCTAATTTGAAGAAACAAAACTTGTAAAGAGTGACTTAATTGACAAGTTTAGATCTTACACAACAAGTATGTAAACACACTGTTAGCACAATTTTATATTTGGCATCTTATAAATGTAAACAATGCATCACACATTATATTTAGGATTTTATACATTTTTAAATAGAAAAATATTCTAATCTTAACTTTTTACATAGTACAGTTTTTGGTTAGAGTATAACACAGATTGGGCATTTGTGTAGGCCTTTTGTTTTCAATCATATCAATGAATAAAATAAAATTTATGTTTTTTTGTTGAAAGTTGACAATTTTAATATTTGAAAATATTCAATATAACTGCTTCATTGAAATAAAGTAACTTCCTTTATTTCTCATAATCCTTTCTTAATGTCGCATCTCGTTTCCTGTTTGTTAGTAGCATAGTGGGCAACACTAGGTCCTTGTTAAAATTAAAAAGAAAAAGCTACATTTAATACAGTAAGGTATTATGTTACTTATTTTTTTTTTTTTTTTATTGAAATAAATTCATAGCTCTCCTACGAAATGATTTTCATGTTAAATAACTTACAAATATAATTAAAAATTGATTTTAATTTTGTATATTATATCAAAAATATTATTAGAAAAATAAAAGATTAAGATTTTTTTTTTATGAATCAGTAAGCAAAAGTTGTCTATTAGTTACTTATATCTTATTGAAAATGGGTTCTTTTTTAGGCAGAAAAATCTGTGACACTATGAGCTTTCCATGAAATTATTACAAAAATATACTTATATCTTTTTAAAACTTAGCTCTTAAAATTTGTCCAAATAACTTCAGTTTCATCATGTTCTTCTCTCATTTGGAAGAGACATGCCCAGCAGTGGTGTGATGAAGATGTTCAATAAATTGAATCAATTTCAATGGAAATATTGTTGCTTTACAGGTGCAGCTGTACCAGTCTCCAACTCCTGAGCTGACGATGGCCACCAAGCTGTCAGCCTCGGCTGGACGCTCTACACCCACCAAGCCCAATGATGATAAACTTATTGTGTTTTACAAGTGAGTGCATTTTAATTATCTCTGTAACTATTATTTCTCGTGGCTTTGCTTATGCAAAAACATGTAATAAAAAAGTCATATATATGTTTATATATAAGTATAACCTTGAAGATTTCCGAATGAAGCTGGAGCAATTATCAAAAACAACAAACATTTCCATTACACACATATGCACTTATACACACATTATGTATATGTGTGTATATATATATATATATATATACATACATATTTTTTTTATACAACTTAGAATGGCAAACAAGCTGACAGCCCACCTGATGGAGAGTGGTAACCGTCGCCTATAGGCATGAGCAGTACCATGGACATAACAGAGTATACTGTTTCGTCCATGATACCCCCCATGCGTTGCCATTCCTGAGGACTCAGGTGTTATTCCTCTGTACCCAGTAAATTCACGCCATATACATAATGTGTATATATATATATATATATATATATATATATATATATATATATATATATATATATATATATATATATATATATATATATATATATATATATATATATATATATATATATATATATATATATCTCCAATATTTACGCAAATAGGTAAAGTGATTCACATACACATTCGACAGTTTTATTTTATTTATTCTGTAACTGTAATCACAAGCATTCCATTCGATCCAACAATATTCTCTGATTTTTAGCTATCTTGCACTTCAATAATTCACTACTTAATTCATTCCACAATTACAACTTACAAATATAACTTGACAATTAAATTATTGGCTATTTCCCGCGAGAATTAGTACACAGGATATCCTATGTACTAAGTTTGAATATATAATCATCAATGGTTTGTATATCAAACTATCTAATCTTAAAAACTTTTGTATTTATATAAAACACATCATGTACTCAAAACTCAAATAAATGTAGGTAAATTATATGTAAATATATGTAAATAAACGACAAAATCACGCGCAGGAATAAACGCGCGCTTCTATATTGTGGAATGTAGAGTGAAGCTGTGACTTTGGAAAATCGATGCACTGTTGCTTGTTAAATAATTGATATATTAGAAAATGACAAAAGTCGGCTTTTTTTGTTCAACCATTGAGAGTAAATCAATGTTTTCGGTTCATTGTATTTATAGAACATATTGTCTCTGTGTTCGCTCAGGATGATGTGATTCTGAGTCGATAGAGTATAATAAAAAGTACACACATACAAATTAACATACTAGTAAAGATTGTCAGTCATTGTATCAATATTAAATAACCCTTTATTTATAAAAAATAAAACCTACAAAGCTACTTTAACCATTACACTGTTTTGTCACTTTCAAATTTAGAATTTAGTGTTAAAGAATGAGACAAAATAGCTAAAACACGTTTATGAGGGGTTTGACGCTTTTACGAATAAGGGGATATGTTTATTTTACACATACATTCTCAGCAACAATATAGTTGTTATTAAAAAAAAAATTAATCTACTGTAACAGTAAAATATTGTAAGTAGATAATGAAAAGTAATGATGTAATTCATTATTACCAGTAGGTGACTTTCTTTTAGTAAATCACTATTATGAATATTTTCACATTAATATAAGGGCTTAGCCTTGTTAGCCGTGTGGTCCCGGCATAGAATAAGCCAACCCTTTCTCGTGTCGTAAAAGCCGACTAAGGGAGGGCGAGGGATGGGCAGCAGCATCCCTCTTAAAGCATCTTTAAAACATAATTGTGGTTGACAATCCGTTTGTTAAACGTGGCAACCACTGGTAAAAGTACCCAAAGGATGGCTTATGTTCAGCAGTGGATAGTTAAAGGCTGATGTGATAATGATGATGATAAGGGCTTAGAGTTTTAATAATAATAATATTGCGTCACAGTATATTCTGATGTGTAATCACACTGTTCATGTTTATAGGACATAATTATTGTTTTCAATCAAGTGAGCCTAATATTATTATTATTTTATGAATTGTCCATGTGGTAGAGTAGATAATATATCAGGTCAGCTCGAGAGAGCGGCAGTGAGTGACTATGGTCACTCTGTTCTTAGTATCACATTGTGTTTTTATTTTACCTTAGTTTCTTCCTCCTAAATGATTTATCCAACACAATATCCCCCTTAAATCTCGCCACAACATCATCTTTCAGTAAACACTTCTCTGTAATCACACTATTTCTTACTTCGCCTTTCAATGTTAGTTCACAATTATGGTACTATGATACAGTATGCTAATTGTGGTACTGTAACACATTAGCCAAAATGCCATTATAGTAATTTTATATAATATAAATTTGGTTAAAAGGAACGAATATCTGGCCGTGCGCAACGCTGAAGGCGGTTTCTACGTGTGCCAAGCGATGCAGAACGTGTACCGTACCACGCGCAAGATCAAGATCCGCTGGCTCTCGCAGGACAAGACCGCGGACCCCTCGGGAGAAACATACAAGCCGGATTTCTACGATGTTACCGGTATTTAAATTCACATGGCCTCAATCTTTTTACTATATCGTCACCTCTATGGCAAATTTACGAATCTGCAGTTTTTTCAAATTTGACATTTCTTTAAAAATTTACATTTTGCGTCATACTACTTATTGTGACTTATTTTCAAATTTCTATCTCTAACGGTTAAAGAAATCAAATAGCCCGAATCTCCATATTTTTGTGATATACCCAAAGTAAACTTACTTAGCATATTTTTATAGTATTTTCTATAATAAACACTTTAATTTGAAAATTTCAATAATAATTTTATCAATTTTTCAATCCTGATTTAGTTATTTTACATGAATGATTGCTATAACGTTGTTGTTTAAACTGAAGTTCTCTCCAAAACACGTGAATTATACATTGGTATATTTACGAAAGTGGCACTTTCGTTAGTTTGCCAGATATTAAAATAAATTATTTTCTTTGGCAACTTACGAAACTGCCACTTTCGTAGATTTGCTGTTGTATAACTCAATACCTAGGAACTCTCATATATGAAAGTGCAAAGTAACGAATATGCATTTATTTCTGATACTTGTAATATAATAATAATTAATTAAGCGCATTCAATAAAAAACAGGATTTTAAAACTAAAATGTTAGCATGATCTTTTACAGTAGTCTTCTATCAAAAATTATTTGCATTCTAATGTTTTAAAACGTTCCCCTGTAAAATGTATCTTTTTCAGTTTCGTAAGTTTACCATAGAGGTGACGATATAAGAATTTCATGTCACTCAACCGATTTTAATGATATTTTGTAAATGTGATTGTAAAAAAATGGTACTGGTAGGTTGTGATAGGGATCCAAACGTTTACTAGGTCAGTTCTTAGTATACAAATAGGCTAATTGGATTGGAAACCATCTCAGATTATAAATTCCCCGAAAGTGATTATTTTGAATTCTTTTAATAATAGCAAATAAAAAAGTACAATTTAAATAGACCGCGCAAACCGCAACTTTTAAGCAATATAACATCAGTGACGTCACATGGAAGTAAATCATCATCACACAATCATCTAGTGTCATACATGAGTTTAACCATTATTTATTTTTGTAAAAGTTTATGATTTCCCAAGAAAGAAAATGTATAAAGGATGTGTTGTGCTAGTGTGCATAAATACTACTATGAAATCACCGTAAAAAGTATTCATTAGTGTACCGAATAAGTAAAAAATAAGCAAAAAGTGGTTGCAACTTGCTCATAGAAATCCTAATGCTATAGTGAATGATTCAACTGTTTTCTTTGAATTTTGAAGATATAAATAATAATTGATAGATATGAAGTACATTACTTATTTTTATTTATGTAAAGTTACGAATATTAAATCTTAATCACAAATTTGAGGTTAGAATTTAAAGTTATCATTTAAATGTTGTTTTTAGTGATTTTGCAGTAGAATAATAAAATTATTAATTACTTATTATTTGAATAACGAAATCATTTGGATCAACGCACCGCTGTCAAGAACGTAAAGCAACATCAATGACAAACATGCTGTTTACTTCTATCTTACGTCATCATACATTCAGATACGTTTTCAATCACGTGGTACCAGATATGTACCAGTACCAGATAAAAATATGATCTTTTTAATAACATATTGTTGTCTCAGATTAATGCATACTCGTACTGCTTTAAAGCATGTCTATTTTATTACCAACGCGTGCATTTTGTCAGCGTCCGATCGACTACGTGTCCGTTGCGTGTGATTTACTTACGGTGTGTTGTGGCGCGTAGATATGGAGTGCGTGCTGACGACGCTGTCGCTGAGCCGCGCGGGCAGCGGCGGCGCGCAGCTGCTGCGCACCGGAGAGCGCGCTCGCGCCTCCTCCATCCTGCAGCGCGCCCTGCGCGCCGAGCACGCGCCGCGCGACCAGCTGCAGCTCACCGAGGAGCACCCCGACGGCCGTACGTACCCCGCCCCTTCCTCCATCCTGCAGCGCGCCCTGCGCGCCGAGCACGCGCCGCGCGACCAGCTGCAGCTCACCGAGGAGCACCCCGACGGCCGTACGTACCCCGCCCCTTCCTCCATCCTGCAGCGCGCCCTGCGCGCCGAGCACGCGCCGCGCGACCAGCTGCAGCTCACCGAGGAGCACCCCGACGGCCGTACGTACCCCGCCCCTTCCTCCATCCTGCAGCGCGCCCTGCGCGCCGAGCACGCGCCGCGCGACCAGCTGCAGCTCACCGAGGAGCACCCCGACGGCCGTACGTACCCCGCCCCTTCCTCCATCCTGCAGCGCGCCCTGCGCGCCGAGCACGCGCCGCGCGACCAGCTGCAGCTCACCGAGGAGCACCCCGACGGCCGTACGTACCCCGCCCCTTCCTCCATCCTGCAGCTGCTCAGGATCCCAATCATCAGCGGGAAAGGGATTGTTAGTAATGGTGTGAAACTGCCCCATTGCTAGCAATTCACCTTATCAAGTCAACTTCCACGCGATTCCCCCTGGAAACCTGTCACGATGGACTAACTGAGCTAGTTTCATCGTCACCTAATCATCCCTCACTGATGCCCCGCTATCGTATACCGATAGCGCAGACGGGGTTTTCATTCCATTATCACCCATAAAAAAAGACCCCAATCATCATACATACATATATTTCTACACCGACTAACTGCAGCTACCAGACTCCATCTAGATGTGTTTATTTTTGTACGTCGCTCAACCGAGAATCGAAATTGAACTCATATATCCAACACATCTTGCCCAAAATGTTTTTAGTATTCATAAAAATTAAAATCTCTGCAGACCTATTTTAACTATTAAAGTATTTTGTCAATTTCTTTCATATTGGAAATTTAGCGCAAAATAAAAGATAAAATTCATCACTAGTAAAAATAGATTTGTAAAATGTTTGACGTTTTTATGAATAAAAGATAACTAACTCTTATTCATAAGACTAGCGTCTTGAGTAATGAACTTCTTTACAAAGCAGTGGTACGTTAAACGAGCTATACTTTACAGTGGATCTGTCGCTTTACACGGACGAGTCGCAATTGGAAAAGAAGTCCCGCAAACGCACCAGTTCGAAGTCGTCGCCGCGCGGCAAGCAGGATGACGCTAATGAGACTGCAGTGAGTTTATTTAGTGAATTATTAGTTGTATCCCGGGATCCGACCGCCTGCGAAAATCAGTACATAAAGTATCCTATGTGCTAAGTTAGGATATAACCTTACCTTTACCAAATTCTAACTGGATCAGTAGTTTTTGTGTGAAAGAGTAACAAAATACATTCATCTATTTTTACAAACTTCCCCGTATATAATATGAATAGAATATATCCCGCAACGCCACTCGCGTGAATCGATACATAAAGTATCCTATTTGCTAAGTTAGGATATAACGAACATTTTTATCAAACTTAATTTATATCCGTTCAATAGTTTTTGCATGAAAAAGTAACTAATATCCATCCATCAGTACAAACTTTCGCATTTATAATATGAATAGAATGTATTCCGTGGCGCCGCCCGCGTGAATCAGTACATAAATTATCCTATGTGCTAAGTTAGGATATAACCTTACCTTTACCAAATTTAATTCCAATCGATTCAGTAATTTTTGTGTGAAAGAGTAACAAAATTCCATCTATCTATTATTACAAACTTCCGCATATATAATATTAAGAGTGTATCCCGCAGCTTCGCCTGCATGTATTAGTACATAAAGTATCCCATGTGCTTAATAAGAATATAACCTACACATTTACCAAATTAAATTTAAATCCGTTTAGTAGTTTTTTTTTTCCTGAAAGAGTAACTAATATCCACCCATCATTACAAACTTTCACATTAATAATATGAATAGAATGTATCTTGTGGTTCCGCTCGCATGAATCAATACATAAAGTATCCTATGTGCTAAAGGAGCATGTAGTCTTCACGTTTACCAAATTTAAATCCGTTCAGTAATTTATGTGTTGAAGAGTAAATAATATCCATCCATCATCACAAACTTTCACATTTATAATATGAATAGAATGTATCCCGTGGCTCCGCGTACGTGAATCAATACATAAAGTATCCTATGTGCTAAATGAGGATGTAGCCTTCACGTTTACCAAATTTAAATACGGTTAGTTGTTTTTGCGTGAAAGCGTAACTAATATACATCCATCAGTACAAACTTTCGCATCTATAATATTAATATAATAAATGGAATGTATCCCGTGGCTGCGTCCGCGTGTATTATTACATAAAGTATCCTATATGTTAAATTAGGATGTAATCTTCACATTCACCAAATTTAAATCCTTTTAGTAATTTTTGGGTAAAGGAGTAACTAAGATCTATCCATTATTACAAACTTTCACATTTATAATATTAATAAAATGTATCCCGCTGCTCCGCCCGCGTGAATCAGTACATAAAGTATCCTATGTGCTAAATTACTATTTATCCTACCCATGTACTTTATACAAATCCATTCAGTAATTTTTGCGTGAAAGAGAGAATTAGTCATTAATTAAAAAAAAAAAAAACAATGTACATTGTGTCTGAAATAAGGGATAATCATACAAAAAAGCATTACATTAAATTGAATGTTACAAGTATTGAATAACAATTGAGTAAGAAACAATCCTATTAATAGGATTACTTAATTTATTTACAACTTGATGAGTTTATTACTTACTTTTTACTTTTATTCGTAATTTTGCCCGTGTGACCAGGATATGTTTATTAGTTTTAGATAAGAAATAGACAAGGTCCTCTAATTTGCCCTGATTTTCACTTAGTCAAAGTTATTTTTGAGACATTGAATTAGTGAGAGCTATTTTGTTTTCCCTTGAAAATAAGACACTTACCTCAGTATAAAATATCCTCTATGACTTTAATTGTAACTTAACCAGTTATTTTGATTCAAAAACTAAACTACTGAACCGATTTTGTTAAAATGTCCCCTTTCAGATAAAAAAAATCCAAATCGGTTTACAAGTAACGGCAGCTACGATGTAACAAACATAAAAATCTACAATCAACTTGAAAACCTCGCTTCTTTTTAAAGCTGGTTGAAAAATAATCTATATTTCGACCCAAATACTAAGTTATTACCACATAATTTCATTAATTTACCTATTTATTTAATAAAAAATTCACAGCTCTTAAAAAAAATTTGTATAACTCTTTAAAACTGTATAACTATGTTAATGTAAATGCTGTGAATACCTATAATAGGCATGTGCATTAATATTGTATTGTATTTAATGTTTGTTATACCTCCTATATGTTATAATGCAATATGCTGCTGGTGTTCCTTTAAATAAATAAATAAATAATTTACATACAAAGTCTTTTATAAATACCTACAGCCAATAACGGATTTTAATTATATAAACGAAAGCAAGTAAAGCAAAGTTAGAGTGGTTGTATGTAAAAGAAACTATAACAACGAGTGTCCATGAAGAAATAAAACCTCTTCAGTATTTTTTTCTATGTTTGTATAGGTTAAAATAGGTTGCGGTCGACACAATATATTTTTTTTTGTTCACCTTCGCCACTAACGAGTTGCAAACATTTCCAGAAGGTTGCGGCGACGCCCGTCAAAAAGGCGCGAACGACACCAAAGCGCAGTCCGAAAAGCGCGCGCAAAACAAAAACGCCGCCAACAAAACAGAAAACAAATAAAAGAAAATCGGCAGGTAGTACGCCCACTGTGGCGAACACAAGCAAGGTAGGCATAGTACAACGGATATATAGAAATGTACGTATCCGCAATCACCGCCATACATTCATGTCCGACAGTGAGTAAGGTGTGTGCGTGCCCGTCTGCGCCGTCTCTGTCCCGCTGGCGCGATGTGTGGTACGCGCGAGCGGGACAGCGACATCTGTTTTTTTTTTTTCCTAAAGTGACCATAGGGCTCGCTGCGTATTTTTTTTTGGGTAGTGTTAAAGTTTTTTTTTTTGTTTGACTTGGATACTTTGACTTGGAAATTTGTTTGTTTTACTATTATTAACGACTTCATGTATGTGTTCGTGACTGTCGTTAGATAAATTCGTCATAGTCGTAGAATACTGACGAATCTGACAAATATTATATATATATATATATATATATATATATATATATATATATATATATATATATATATATATATATATATATATCGTCAGTATTCTACGCCTATGACGAATGGATCCAATGATGAAGTTTATTATCATCGTAATGAAGTTTAAATATAAAATTTCGTGAAGAGAAGTCAACATAATTGACTCTTATATTTTTATTATATTTTTTAAATTTAGAACACTGAACACATTAGAAATACGCGCGAATCCAGTACCGTTATTGTTTATTTTTTTTTTTTTTCAAAACAAAGGCGCAGATTGTAATGGTGTATAAGAGTTGAATTAATTGTTTAGTTAGACGAAAGGAGTGTATTATAATTATGAATATTAATTTTATAGTAATGTTGAGAAAAAAAAATTGGATAATATTATAATGTGGTTATATCCATGTGCATGCTAAGAGTATGTTATGTACATTGAATATGCAATATTTAACGGTTCCAGTGTACAGACCTCCGCATTCTTTTGATTGGGTCAAGGTATAATTTTATTTTATTTTTTCTATTATTCACGGTCATACCACGCATTGGAATCCATTATAATAATAATAATTATAGTGATATAGGGCGTCTATTACGAGAGATATTAACTGACATGTATGATCACATGATAATGCATGATTTAATTTAAAAAAAAATACCAATTTTGTGTAGACATTACAATAAAAACAATTTTTTCACATCAATCCTAAACATACTGATGATTTTCTTTTTCAATTTTAATTTAAATAAATTTAAATGGCCATATAAAAAAAATGTTTAGTATATTGATTGGAATATCAATAATTTTGATTATCATTTTAAAATTGAAATGAATTTAATTTTTTTTTTGTATATTTAATTTGGTTAAAATCTAAAAATAGTATAAAATTAATTAGGAGAGGCCTAATGGATTTTGAAATTATATATTTTTTAATTATTTTTTTTATACTTTCACATGCCACTTAATTTTACTAAAAAGTAAATGAAATTTATTAGAATTGTTTTATTATAAATAAATTATATATATAGAATAAATTAGAGTTAGCTATTTCTATTAGCAAACTCTATTAAACGAAGCTAGTTTATAATTGTAATATAAATAAAACTATATTACTTGGTATACTGTAAAAATATCAAAGATATAGCCATTTCGCAGCCTCAGCTTCACGTGAATCCTATTGCTTTTCTAACGCTCACGAAGCAATTTCCAAAAAAAAGTATTAGAGCTTTTAATATTTATAAAATTTCATAGCTTTCGAGTTAGCGGTTTCAACTATGCGTTGATAGTTCGATCTGTTTCTTCTATCTAGGCAGTAATTAGAAATTTGCCATTTGATTAAATTTGAATAGAGCCCTAAATAACTCGCATGCGCAATAAATATACTTCGAATGTGAGTTTCGATCTAACCAAATGGATATCACCTTCATTCATCAGTCATGATCATTGCTTGCTTTTTGTGTTGATTCTTTAGTTTTGACAAGTTTTATTGGGTCTTTTTTCTTCTATAGTTTGCGTATTTTGGACATCTATTCTTGGTTGTGGCATGTTCCTATTGCATGGTCCTGTACCAACCCCTTTTTATATGACCAATGATATATTCCAATTAAATTTTCTATGCGTTTTGTTATTTAGTTAAATGTAAAGATATATATTTACCTTTACACAATTGTTTCTTTGTTATTTAAAAAAAAAAAAAAAACGTTAACCTAATCTGTATTAACTTTTGGAGTTTTTCGTTAAATTTTTTTTATACGTTCTAAATTTGAAAAATGACAGCGCGGTAATAATTAAAGTAGGTTCTATGTATTTATGAATAAAACATGGACGGTCTTAAATGTTTATAATTATACTGAATATAATTAAGAGAGCTATAATTTCAATATTATATATGTTACTGTAAAAGTAAATATATGGGACATTGGTAAATCTTAGAATTTACTAAAATGCGTTTGTAAATGTAATAATTTTATAAAAAAAAGAGTAACATTTTTGTAGCTTTCACTAAACCAAACCAAGCTATTTCATCAGTGTACGAACACCGCGCACTAAACATGTGTAAATATTAGGTATGTCTTATTACTGTAAAAACCTGAATTACGGTATTTTTTTTTTAATAAATTTATATTTATTTAACAAAGTATGTTTGAATAAGCACAGAATTTATCATTGATTCCTACACTAGGCTGAGCTTGTCCTGTAGGAAATAGAATTCGTGTTATCATCATATACATAAATAAAAATGTTTCTATACTTACATCGGAGATGTGATAAATATCAGAAAGTAGATATAAAAATTAACATGTTTAGTGTCTGGTGCTTATACTCGTGGTCAAAAAGTTGTTTTTTTTTTTTAATGGCTGATAGTCGAATGGTGACCCCGCCAATGCTGTCGGTATACACTGGCGGGGCACCAGTGAGGGATGATAGGTGAGAATGAAGCAGGTCAGTTTTCACTATGACGGATTTAACAATAAATCAATCATGATGGTTTCCAGGAGGCACCACGAGGGGTTCGACCTGATATAGTATATTGCTAGCAATGGGGCTATTAATCCCCATAACTAACAATCCTTTCTCCCCCAAAAAGATGGTTAGATTTAGTTTTGTGAATGCCCCAAAATTTTTTTTTTATATATATATATATAAAATACTCATATTTTGGGTCTTTTACAGTAACATGTGCTAAAAATATGTAAGTTTGTATGGAAATTTAATTGGAGTGTATATTTTATTGTGAATGTTAATTGTATATTATTTTGAAAATATAAATGAGGGTGCTAGTTCTACTAAATAGTGATGATGGGAGTGATCTCTGACGTTTTGTATATAATTATAACATTCTGTAAAAATTAACTGATATTATTTAGTATTGCCTGCAGTATAAGAGTGTTGGATGTGTAGGAATGGATATAACAAGCGATTTGAATCTATACATGGCCTTGAATTTAATTATAAAAAAAAATATCTATTCGGATTTTTTTATTCAAAAAATGGTTTAATATATACTCTTTTCTCTCAAAAAGGAAGAAATTTAAAAAACAGCTGGAGGCAGTATTGTATGAAAATCGATAAATAAATAACTCTTTATTATTCCCTCCAAAATATTACAGTCGTTAACTAGAACTAATTAACTAGATATAAATAATAAAAAAAAAAACCACTTAGTTATTTAATTTTTAAATTCCAAAGAACAACCTTTCTCAGCTTAGTTTTGATTTAGCGCGCCAAAACTAAATGTTGTTGCGTTAAAAAGAAAAGTATTCATTCCAAATTTGAATTCTTTAATAAAAAAAATGTAGTGAGTGATAATATGCGGTACCTATTTATTGTTCTTAAACATTTTATATGTTATATATTATTGAATTTCGACTTGTTATATACTTTCCCTTACACGTTTTATATTTTATAAATAAAAGTAAGAAAATATTAAATTATAATTTATAGGAACTATAGTTATAAACAAGATTAATGTTTTATTTGTGTTGTGGTACAGTTGCGGTATATTGTTGGAATTGGATGCAAAAAATGGTTAAGTGAATGTTTGTTTACATATAATTACATTATTTTATAATTATTATTATAATTGGGGAAAATAAACTGTACAAAAGAATTTAAAAAAAAATTACATATATATAAAAAAAAAATGTACAAAAATATTCCTAATTTAAAAATGAGATGACGTAATGTAATTATGTGTATTTATTGAAACTAGATTAATGTAGTTGGTATGAATTATGAAAATACAAAATCAATCTCAGAATAAATTGCCCATTAATATGTAACAATGAGATTTTATAAAAAAAAAAAAAACAATAAAAACATTCCAGCTACATTACAAGTATATATTTCGTTAAAGTGTTGACAGACTAATCGAATCCTACATTTATCTTCAGACTGCGACGGCGGTGACAGAGAAAGCTAAACCTAAAGGTTCGCCCGCAAAAAGAACTCCCGCCAAGCAGGCAAAGGAATCACCGGTAACAACGCCCGCGCGCAAGGGAAGAAGAGCGGGCAAAGGTATTATTTTATAAATACTATTGAGCATTTTACACAGGGTTATCTAGTCCCAAACTAAGCAGAGCAGAGTTGGGGGGGGGGGGATGGGATTGTTAGCAATGGAGTTTGACAGCCCTATTGCTAGCAATATGCCCTATTAGGTCGACCTCCACGTGGTTCCCCCTGGAAACCATCATGAACAATTCTTGTTGAATTCGTCACGATGGACTAACTGACCTGCTTCATCCTCACTAGTGCCCCGCCGGTGTATACTGATAGCGTTCCATTATCACCCATTAAAAAAAAAATAAGCAGATATTTTACTATGACTACTAGCTAATTGATAGAAGATATTATGCAATTTAGTCCCGACTTGACCACGACGTGGTGCAGTCCTCGTCGAAATGTCAGAAATAAAAATCAAGTATGTTGGTATTCTGCTGTTTTGTGTTGCTTTAAATAAATAAATAATATAGTTAGTTAAATAAATAGATAGTTAAGGGCTGATATGATGATGTAGGTATTATTTACATCGTGTCATGTTAAATACCAATTGTGAATTTAAATCTGTAAACAACGCCGGATTTAAAAATTTACTATTTTTGTTTTACTTTATAATGGCAAACGAGTTGATGGGCCTTCCTGATGGAAGAGTGGTAACCATTGCCCGTCGACATTAACAATACCATGAACATAACAGACTACTGTATCACCCATGATACCATTAATGCGTTGCCATTCCTAAGGACTAAGGTGTTATGCCTCTGTACTCTGTAATTTCATTACAATTCCATTTTCAAAAACTAATAACGATTTCTAATATTTAAAAATAAACTAACGTTTATTGTTAACGACTATTTACAGAGAGCAAAGCGTCGCCAATTGTACCGACGCCGTCGACCTCTACCGGCAAGACCACACGTACGCCGAGGAAACCGCCGGCGAAAAAATAATACACGTACTGTTCCCTCTTCTCTTTACTGTTAGCCTCCAGTGAATGGACACTGAACACGTGCGCCGACATTGGGTTTGTACTTCATTCATTCACAACTATAATTTATTTGTAACACATTTGTTTTGTGCAGTTTGGCATAATGAAACTTTGTCCTTAGCCTCTTTATTTTTAATCTGTTCAGTTTTGGCGGTAAAAGTACACCGTAGTTCTATATTATAGCACAATATGGATTTGTCATGGAAAGTTTTATATTTGTATAAGTTTATTGTCTATTATTATATAAGAGAACAGTCAAATTATTACTGCAGTATGGCGTAGAATCCGTACACTGATTTGTACTCAATTTGGCCTGTTTTTTTTTTTTCATAACAAATACTACCTTTATAAAGAAAAAGGTAAATTTCCGCCTGTCTATAAATTTGCTATAGTTTAGTTTTGATTATATACAACACAACATAATATAGTTTTAGTATTTTGAAGATTTCATAAAAATATAACATTTTGTCTATGGCAGCGATTCCTAAAGTGGGTTCCGCGGAAATTAGGGATTTCTTAAAAAGTCACCAAGGGTTCCGCGAAATTATTTATACAGTTTTAAGTTGTTTCATTTCATTTTTTACATTAAAAATTAAAGGAAACTACTAAGTGTTATATTTTAAAATATTTCTAAGAAATACTTTATTCTTATAAAATTACAGTGTTTTTGATTTGTAATCACTTGATATGGAGGTTTCCAGAAAATAAAAGGTATTTGGTGGGCGTTCTGTTATCTTAAAAGTTTAGGAACCCTGTGGTCTATGGTATACACTAATACGTGGCCATTGAACGCACTAAAGTTGATATTAGCTTATTACGTCATTCATAGTGGCTTTATTTCGAGTTTTCAGTTTCTTGTTATTTTTTATAACCTGACAATAATAGAAATGGCGGCTTTGTATCTCTATTAGTTGTCACTTAAAGTATAAATTAATTAAATACTAAAATTGTTACAAAATTATAATTATTGCATATTGAAAGAAGGAAATCTTTTCATTCAAGTTAACTTATATTTAAGCATTTTTGAATAGTATTTTTTTTTTTTCATTTCGGAACGCAATTTCAGCCGAGAAGAACGGGCCAGAAACAGCTGTTGCTTTTGTTCCAAAAAGATCAACAATATAAATAATAATAAATTTGTGTGAATACAAATTACTAAGTGGTATTAAATCATAAAATTTTAAATATATATAATCAAAAGATATAAAAAAAATTTGTTACCAGAGCAGACCAGTGCCTATAGGTAGCACCCGTTCACGGGTATGACGGGTGAACCAGCCATCATTGCGCTCAACCATATAACTCGATAATCCGGCCATTTATCTTTTTTTTTTTATTATCAATAACATTAGCATTCAGAAATAATAATAATAAATAAGAAAATATCTCAACCTGGCTCACGAGGTGACCGAAATGTGGGGGGTGACATCCACCGAAATCATTCCAATCGTTATGTCGGTGAACGGTCTTATCCCAACCAGTCTGGAACAACATCTCAGACGGTTGGGATTCCGAGGCGGCTCACTCCCGGGAAAGATGCAGAAAGCGGTGCTCTTAGATTCTGCCCGCATTGTACGCCGGTTTCTCTCGCTGGGGCCCTGAACCCCGGCCGACTGTGCTTCTGCCGGGGGTTAGTTTGCCATCTCCTATCCTTAAGAGGGGAGATGTGAATTTTTCTAGAAATTTAAAAATTATATAATAATATAATTTATTTGCTGAAAAACACGGTATACAGATGTTAGCAATAATATGTTAGGAACAGGCGTGTTTTGCCAAAACAATGACATGCAAAATTTTAATATTTTAGGTTTATCTATATCTATACTTATAATAAATCTGTAGAGAGGTCAATTCTGTACATGAAATATATAAACTGTATATTTCCAAAATAACTATCAGCGGGTGATTAGTGATCGATACTGATGCCAAAAATGCAATCAGTAAAATTTTTGTCTCTCTGTCTGTATGTTCGTTATAGAAACAAAAACTACTCGACGGATTTTAACGAAACTTGACACAATTATTCTTCATACTCCTGGGCAGGTTATAGTATACTTTTCATCACGCTACGATCAATAGGGGCAGAGCAGTGAAGGGAAATGTGTCTGTTACATCAAAACCACTGAACCGTAAGGTAGGAAATAGGCCACTTATTTTAGGAAAAACGACGGAAACGCGGACGAAGTCGCGGGCAACAGCTAGTTAATAATAAAATAATTGTATACAACCATTTGTTTCAAACTGCAATTACGTGACATAAATTCATGGTGTTGCTTGTATTATGTTGTGTTGTATGTTGATGAAAATTGATGTGTTGCCATGTATTATTTGTCATGATGTGACGTGATCATCGTAGGGTTATATTGTATTTTGAGGAAATATAAAGCAATAAATGGCTGAGAAACTACATACTGCATGTTGACTAATAGCTAAATATTTTTTTTTTTAAATTTGTTTTCATAAAAACTTGACATTATTTGTTATTTAACGTGTAATATATTAATAAGGTGACTTTATGAGCATAGAACAGTGTTTCTTTTACAAAAATATTTTGTTAAAAAAATATAAAAACTTGGGAAGTTTAGTCTTCTGACCTTAGCCTGTCCCTCTGAGGGTAGAACTAAGAAAAGAAATAAAAGATGAAATAATTGTTTCTATAAAATATTTTATAAATATTGTATTAATGTTTTTATTTATTACAATGAATAAGTGTATAGTAATTATGAAGTGAAATCTATAGAATAACACATGCAGTATTTGAGTTCTCCGAATGAACTGTATTTGACCATTACAAAAGAGAATATACACATCTGTGTTACTTAATCAATTGGAGAACCGCATCGAAGTGCGTTACAACGTACTTATACAAAGCTCATACAATTTTTATCAATCAAAATATTTTAGGTTAGACGTTAAAAATCACTTTATACTATTGAATAATGAGATAAAAAAAATCCTGTCACTCGAAGTGAAGTCTTTCAAAGTGAATTCAATGTAACAGGATAATTTAACTAACTTAACTAACTAATAATTATAAGAGTTCTAGCATTCACTGTAAATATTTTACATTTATTAACAATACAAAAAAAAAAAAAAATGTTAACAAACTTTTATTGACGGTCTATGGAGTAAGTTCATTGTTTTTTCTATTTTTTTTTTTATGTAAAACTGAAATGTATGTTCTTTTCGATATATTTAATAAAAAAAAAATGCAACAATAATAATAATATAAAGAATTAGTTGAAAATGTTGTAATATCAACAGGATATTAGAGATACCTTATACAAAGCCATGATCTATGGATCTCGCTAATACATAGATAACGTCTGTATACACACAAACGTGTATGTATGTCGATTGTATTATTTAAAATGCTTGTACTTAGAACTAATTGTTATTTTTCTTTTGTAAAATTGTTTTTATTGTACACTACCTGGTTATACGGTATGTACCGGTTGTGCGGTGTGTTCCTTTTTCAAACTATCATATTTGTTAGCTTAGAATATTTCACATTTTACAAGTGAAATTTCATATGTTACGCCTAATCATATGTATACTCACGTATACTCACGTTACGCTGCCATCACGGAGTGTGCTACAAATCACTCTAAATGAAATCACGGTCAAATTTATTTGTGAGTTATCAGCTAATTAGTAGTGAAGTGAAATAGCAACAGAACACTGCCTGGACCGTACAAAAAGTGCGAATAGAGACTTTAACAGTACACGAGTTATAGTGTATATTCGCACGCTCTTTTCATATAAATCATAATATTTCACTTTCAGTAGCAAATATTAGCTGATGAAACTTCATTAACATTACTAGCGAAAATCACAATGATTTGTCACAAGTGATATCACTGTGAATAAAAATAATTCACTAAATGTTGATAAATTAAATGTAGCAATAATATCCTAGCGTACATATATGAAGCACAGAGGGAGTGAAGCCAATTCAAAAGAGCGTATCCGGTATATTGTATATTTTGATGTCTACCTTACAGTTCTTTTGAAAAGTTCACTTCTCTGAATATCGTGACTTAGTTACGATTCGGTATAGCCTTTTCAACTAATTCTATATAGATATGTAAATCATTACAACTTCGATAAGTAATGGATTCACAGTCGCCGTTCAAAAAACATCATTACATCTCAATAGTACCGAAATGTTCATTTAGCTCTTTTGCTATCTCGTTCCTTGTCCATTGTTACTGTCGCAGTATATTTCTCTTTGTCACATCTTGACAATTTTGGGACGTTATTTGCTCAGATTTATAAGGTGGCTGTAAATCTAGTTATAAATGATATATGATTATAGCTAAATTAAAAACATTGAATGAATGTAATTACTCCATAAACCATATGGTCACATGTATTCGACGTGGGCATATATTTTGTGCGTTAGCGAGGTATTTTTGCCTCTGTTAACATTAGGCAATAGTTTTAGATGTTTTCATTTGTAAGTTTTAGGCTAAAAATTCTAAATAATGCGAGAGTATTCGATTAGGTAATGCGATGGAATCATGTATATCAGTACAAAGAATTTAAAATTATTAAAATGATGTTTTTATCATTGGATATTTTGGCTTCACATAAGAATATATTTTGATATGATCGGTGTTTATTTTGATTAATATATTGTGGTGTTCTGTCGACGATTGTGGAGTAATGCTGACACGTTTAGATCACAATACAAATGATGAAGTTACAAAGTCGTAATGTATGTTTGTTATCTGTCTGGACCAAAATTGCATTGTAAATTATCTATACTACATGGACATTGTACAGTTGAATACCAAATGTTAAATGATCACTGCCTTTTGTAAAAAATAAATCTGGACACCTCTAGATAAATCGAATATGTATACCGATACTAGTTTGTCAGCCTTTATTCAGTTCAATATTGTAGTTCCGCGGGTAGAGGGCGCCACATCGTTCTTTAATATTTGAGGAGAATCGAATACTACCCGCGGACTCTTTTAGATGTACTTTTTTGTATGTCTTATCCTCTCGATTTTTGTTACAACACTCGACTTGTTAGTTTAGTTGGTTAGGTTGTATACACATAAGTTTCGAGGCGTACATAGTGGCCCCTTTATTTTGTTAAATTGTTTTCCATTCTCTCAGCGTTGTTGTCCCGTAACCCAGCTCTGTGTGAGCGTGCGCGTGTGTGTGTGAAACATTAGGAAATTTAAGTACCTAAAGCTTAGGTGGTATTTTTAATATTAGGTTAATTTCTAAAAAGGAAATAAGCTTAGAATATAAATTATTGTGAGTGTATTTTCTGTTTATAATGTGTACCTATGTGGAGCGAATGTTGTGACACTGACCGTCTGGTACAATAGTTGTAAAACATATTTTAGCGTTTTATACAAAAGATATCAGTTCAAGAGTACTATTGTAACAGAAAGTCCACAAATTTATATGCAATTAAATATAATAATTTAAGAGGAAATGTGTTTTTATTTGTATATTCTATTCGTTACCCGGAGAATTTCCATTTGTCTTATTATTATAATTATTTATTTAAAATTTGTCAAGGATTAAAGATTTAATAATTAATGCCGTATGAGCAAACACAGTGTGGGACGACTCCCACTAGATGGAGTGACGACCTCAAATACATTGCAGGGGTCAGTGGATGCAGGTAGTTCAGGACCGTTCCTTATAGCAGTCTATGATGATGGGGAGGACTGTTCAACAGTGGCCAGTTAACAGCTGATATGATAAAGGTTACTAGTAACAGCTGATATGATATAGTAGTTTTTTATCATAGACTTAGTATAATGTACTTACGTTTATAGTGATTTTTTTTATACCACTGAGGTGGCAAACAAGCATACGGCCCACCTGATGGTAAGCGGTTACCGTAGCCTATGAACGCCTGCAATACCAGAGGATTGCAGGCGTTTTGCAATGCAATACGCGCTTGTTGTCGACCCTGAAGAAACCTCTTTACCCCCCTTTTGAAGAACCCCATGCTGTAGTCTCTTGGGAAAACCTCGCGCATAAGCAACTTTACTGAAGAAGGGCAAGGGGATAGTAGTAAGCAAACACTAGTTTATTTTTAGCAAAGAAAATCAAGATATTTTTAAACAAACTTTTAATTATTTGTAAAAGAAATTTTATGAGATAATGAATTCAATTGAAATTATTAATTAATCAAAAACACATGTATAGATTTTCAATCTTCAACTATTTCCAATGGGAACTCAGCCATAATTAATCCCCTTGACCACAGAGCGTCAACTACCTGCATCTTGTCTGAATCATTCGGTACATCTAGATCTTCAACTGCAACATACTGTGGATAAGATACTATTAAGTTCTCTATTGCTGGTGCCAAATCTTCCTCGATTTCAAGGTATGGCAACTCATTTCCATGATACTCCAATGAATTGTCAACATAATAATAAATTCTTATACGGTCTTCCGAGACCATTCTCAGTATATTTTTTCGTAACAGTCTTATCTTTGTATCTAGTCCTATTTCAATTCTATTATCTATCTTTCCATCTTTCATTACAACATCATTATCACTATATACAGTGACAGACTTTTCTAAATCGGTAAGAACAGGTGGTAATGCATCATGCTGGTAATTCTTGTTCATTTGATCAACTGCTTCATCTATTGGTAGATGTTTTTTGATTTTGTCAAATAGTGTTCTAATAATATCCTCAATTTCTTTTCTCCTCGGTGTATTTATGTCTGAATTAACTAGACCAAAATTGTCATAAATGTCAAATGGCAAACCCCGTCTTAGCTCAATATTTTCATTTATTGCCATTTGTAATGCTGCAGGAACCAATTTTTCTAATAAATCCGCCCAAGAATGCTTCTGGTACATACTGACAGTTACATGAAGGGAGTGTTCTCCTTCAATCGTAACTCCTTGATGAATAAAGCCTCTTGGAAAATAAAGTAAATCACCCGCTTCTAAAGTGACTTCCAAAATTGGATCCCCTATTTCATTTTGATTGAAATTCTTTGATGAAACTCTGGGTAATGTTTCTTCATCATTCCGAGGTTTATAAATACGCCAATGTTTCTTCCCTTCAGCTTGTAAGATAAAAGCTTCTATATCATCGTAATGTGGTGCAAAACCTTGACTATCAGGTGGCGTTAAATATGCATTAGCACCAACAAACGAGTTAAAGAATTCCTGGAGTGTTGCATTCAGTAAATGTAATTTAGGGATATAAGTTTGAGGATTCAATAATCTAATACTGCAACCATTTACATAGTAATCCCACACAAGGTATGGGTGAGCTCTGCCTTCTGGGTTATGTGTTTCCCGCTTCTCATTAACATAGGATGTGATATCAATATTTTTTGTGAACTGAATGTTATCTTTACGCAACATTTGATCTATGATGGGAGTGGAAATTATTTCTTTATAGTAGTTACGTTTATTTCTGCTTATATGCAGCGGCTTTTTTTCCCAAACTTGGTTAAGGAACTCTTCGGGATTGTATGGTGCTATCATCCACCCAAATGCTTTCAAACCTTCTTCTGCACTATCCGTTTGAACTGGAGTAAATTCAAAGTTACAATTATCTGAGCACACTGTATCTTCATCAGATTTCTCTTCAAAATTATTTATTTGATTTGGAGCATGAATCAAATTAGGTATTTCCTCACTTTCAGAAATACTGGTATTACGTTTGTTAGGTGAATTGTTCATTTTGTTTTCACTAATACCATTGATTAGAGCTCCAAGAGCCTTTTTCTTTTTAAGAAGTTTCTTTTTAGTATCTTTTGATTTCTTCAATGTTAGCTTAAGTTTCTTTGCTTTATTTATTAGGGTAATATTATCTAAATTATTTGTCAAAGCTTTTGGAGATTTAGCATTTTTCTGTTTCTTCTTTTTATTTTTCTGTTTCTTAGGCTTTTTATTAGTACTGTAAACTGCGAAAGCCGATACAGGCGTATCCATATCTAATATTGACTGACAAAACCAAGTACCTATTAATTTTAAAACCTACAGAACAGATAAAACAATGTATAAGTTATTTTTTATTCACGTGATGAAAGGGTAAAATAAAATAAGATCTAATCACATTAAACATTAAAACATTTGGATTAGTTAAAGGTTATCTCATTTTTCTCAACACATTTACTTGACAGCGAGTTAAGTTTAAGAATGACAATTTAAAACACAATAAAAATATTGACTGACATTTAAGTGACGGCATTAGACATAAGGACAGAGTACTATGCTACATTACATTATTCACGTGTAGTCAGAGATATAGATAAGATTAATTTATCTAACATTATGTTTTTCTTTTAATGGACAAAATAGAAATGGTAAGCTATCGGTATACGCTTACGAGACACTAATAAGGGATAATAAATAAAGCTTGTAGGTGAGAATGAAAACAGGTTAGTTGGTTGAATTAATCATAATGGTTTCTGATAATATATTTTACGGGCTTCGAAACCCTTTTACTAAGAATCCATTTCCCTATTAACATTATAATGTTTGGACAGCGACTATGCTTACTGATGGATGTGGAATGTTACAGGAGACCAATAATGTTATTTAATATTTAAATATTTTATTACGTACAATGTTACAACGATTATTTTAGTGACAAGACACAAGTCAGTTTATTTTTCTATTTAATTGAGCTGTAGGTCTATAGCCGTGTACAACCTTTTTCTTACACTCCTCCTCACGGCATAGTATCTACCTACTGTAGGAGTCCCAGCTCTTGGCGACAGTATTCATATTTAGGACGAGGCAAAGCTTTTGTAAAGATGTCCGCTATCATATTCCCTGTTCCTAGGTATGAAAGTTGCACCACATTTTGTTGCACCATATCTCTTATAAAATGTTGGCGGATATCGATATGTTTGGATTTGGCACTAATGATAGGGTTCATTGCTAACTGTTGTGCGGCTTGATTGTCGTTGTGAATAGTAATTCCTTTTTGTTTAAAGTAACCCAAATCAGTTAGAATGTTTTTCAAATGAACAGCCTCTTTTGTACATTCGCTCAAAGACATGTACTCGGCTTCCGCCGTTGAGAGTGCTACAGTCCTTTGTTTTCTTGACTCCCAACTTATGACCGCACCGTTCTTTATAAAACAATGGCCGGTATATGACCGTCTATCTAATGGACACGATGCCCAGTCGGCATCTGCGTAACCCTTTAAAATTTTATCTCCATTCTTGTGGAATGTTAATTTTAAATCTATTGTACCTTTTAAGTATCTAATTACGCGCTTTGCAGCTGCCCAGTGTTCTTTTCCATAATACGCATTGAATTGACCAAGATAGCTAACAGCATGAGCTATGTCTGGTCGCGTGGCAACTGACAGGTACATGAGGGCTCCAATCAAGTTTCTATAGGGTAAGTTCGAATCTGGATGTTCTTCTTTCTTTAATTTTAATGCTGTCTCCATAGGAGTTGCCACAGGTTTTGCATCTTGCATGGAGAATTTCTTAAGGATATCTTTAATGTATTTCTTTTGACTCATAGTAATTTTTCCTTTATCCTGTTTAAATTCTATACCTAAACAGTATTTCAACTCTCCGATGTCTTTCATTTCGAACTTTCTCTCTAGTGCTTTCTTTACTTCTTTTAAAATTTCTGAACTTGAATATGCTATAATTAAATCGTCAACATAGACTGTTATTATTATTTTATCTCCTCCTTTCTTCAATAGGTATATGCAAGGATCTGCATTACATGATTCAAAACCTATATCTTTTAATTCTGCATCTAATTTTTTATACCATTGGCGTCCGGATTGTTTTAATCCGTATAAAGCCTTTTGAAGCTTGCAAACTTTTTCTTCTTTAATATTTCTAATATCTTCTAGCATCCGTTTAGCCTTATTGAAGAATGTTAAATCATTTTGACTACTTTCGTCAACCATAATTTCCATTACATATTTTTCTAAGTAAGGAGGCATTTTCATTTGTATATTTTCTTCTAGCTCTCCATTAAGATACGCTGTAGTGACATCCATTTGATCTAATTTTAGATTATCCTCTATGGCTGAACTAATGACTGATCTAACAGAACTTAGTTTCACAACGGGGGCAAATGTTTCAGTATAATCTACACCAGGTTGCTGTGTGAATCCCCGCGCCACTAACCTAGCCTTCTTTATTTCAGTGTTATCTGCTTTCGTTTTTATTCTTAATATCATTTTGTAATCTACTTCATTGATACCTTTTTCTTTCTTTGCTATTGTCCACGTTCCGTTTTTAATGTGTGCTTTTATTTCAGCTTTAATAGCATCGTGCCAGCCTGCATCATTTTCGTCGTGTTCACCAAGGTAAGCCATTTCTGTCACGTGCATGCTCTCATCTGTATCATTTTCTACTTTGTAGTCTTTCAACCATGCTGGTCTCTTTTTATCTCTTTGTGGTCTTTCATGTTGTGACGTTCTGGGTTCTATATTACTAAGATTATCTTCTTCCTCAATTAGCGTTATCGGTTCTTCATTTGTGGTATTATCGTCATCATTTTGATCAGAAACTAATGGTTGAATTTGTTCATCTATTTGCTTCGTATCTATTTGTTCTGAATTTAATTGTATATACGACTTAATACCTTCTTCATTTTCATTTGTTTTTGTTTCTTTGTATTATAAATCTTTTAAGAATTTTACGTCTCTACTTATAACGACTCTTTTCAATTCTGAGACCCATATTCTGTAGCCTTTTGTATTTTCGGAGTAGCCGACAAAAAATCCTTTCTTGGCTCTGGGTGAAAATTTTCTTAAATTTCTTTTATTTAATACAAAAGCTTTTACTCCAAAACATCTGAAATGTCTCACTGATGGAGTGTAACCAACCCATATCTCGAAAGGTGTTTTTCCATTTGTGGCCTTGGAAGGTACTCTATTCGTTATATAATTCGCCGTGTGTATAGCTTCGGCCCAAAAACTTTCTGGTATTTTTGATTCGATTAACATGCATCGAGCTTTTTCCAAGAGAGTTCTATTTCTCCGTTCAGCTAACCCATTATGTTGGGGCGTATAAGGAGCTGATAAGCGTCGAGCTATGCCATTTTCCTTTAAGTACGTGTTGAATTCATTATTAACATATTCCTTTCCGTTATCTGTCTGCAAGATTTTTATTTTATTTCCTGTATATCTTTCCATTTCCTTTTTATATTCTATAAACTTTCCTAAAACTTCATTTTTATTTTTCAGAAAATAGACTCTGCCATATCTGCTGTATTCATCCGTAAAGGTGACGAAGTATCTGTGATCTCCGTTACTATTTACGGGCATTGGACCACACACATCTGAGTGTATTGTATGTAGTTTTTGAGGAGCTTTTGTTTCTTCAGGCCTTTCCTTAGGAAAAGGTAAATTCGTCATTTTTCCTTTTACGCAACTTTCACATTCATTTAATTTGTCATTCTCATTAAAATAAATGCCTTTTATTATATTATTTCTCATAGCTCGTTTTAAGTCATATTCATTTAAATGTCCTAGTTTTTTGTGCCATATGTCTATATCTGATTCTTCTTTATAGGCTTGATTTGCTTTTTCTTTTGTGCTTAAATTTGCATTCACATAATAAAGTTTATCTTCCTTCCTTGCTGTAATTATTGGTTTTCCATTTGGATTTTTAATAATTGCATTATTCTTTGTAAATAATACGTTAAAACCATTTTCAGTAATTCGTGCTATGGATATCAAATTAGTTGATAACTCTGGAATATATAAGGTATTGTGTAAATTTACTGTCTCATTTTTAATTTTTATCTTTACTAACCCTTTGCCTTCTATCTTTTCTGTTTTTTTCGAGGCTAACTTAAGTGTTCCATTTTCTTCTTTATTTATGTACACGAAAAGAGTTTTATCATTGCACATGTGGGATGTGCACCCACTATCAATGCACCATTTATTATCATTTTTATTTTCTATTGTATAACAAGATTCAGTGCAATATAAATTTACATTTTTATTTCTCACATTTTTGTTAAACCAACAATCACTTGTTTTGTGTCCAAATTTATGACAGTTGTCACATTGTATTCTATTTTCATTTGAATTCTTATTTTTGAATTTTTGAAATCGATAAGATTTTTGTTTACGTTTCCCTCCATAAAATGCTTCTTCTTCTTCCTCCTTTTCCAGATTTTTATTTAAACGAGCTTCACTTTCTTTTATAATTTTCGTTTTGAGTTCTTTGAGGTACGGAAGTTTATCACGAGACTCGATAGCCACTCTGAAGTTCTCGTAGGAATCTGGCAAACTGTATAGTAACATTATGCTCAGGAGGTCTTCATTGATGCTGATGTCCATGTCTTTTAATTTATCCACCAAGTCGATGAATTCATTTATATGATCTCTGGCGGATTCATCATGTTTCATTTTTTTGTGTAGTAACTTTTTTAATAATGTTGCTTTTCGTGCAGGTCCACGACTTTCGTAAGCGTTTTTAAGGGTCTCCCATACGTCTTTTGCTGTTTTGCATGATTTTACTAATTTAAGTTGGGACGGCGAAATTATTAATAGCAGTTCGGCTTTGGCCAATAAATCTTTTTCTGCATTAATATCGGTTGATGATAAACATGTAAAAAGTCCTGCTTTTATGAGTACAGCTTCTGCTTGTATTTTCCATGTATCATAATTTGTTTTATTAAGATGTTCAAATCCAACTTGATTTTTTGTATTCGCCATCTGTGCGTTGCTGGCCCATAACCTGATGGATGTGGAATGTTACAGGAGACCAATAATGTTATTTAATATTTAAATATTTTATTACGTACAATGTTACAACGATTATTTTAGTGACAAGATACAAGTCAGTTTATTTTTCTATTTAATTGAGCTGTAGGTCTATAGCCGTGTACAACCTTTTTCTTACACTTACAGTCGTTGTTTGGTTTATTTTGAATGGTCCACTGTGGTTTTCATTACTGGAGAATTAGTCTTCAATTTAAATTATAACGTTGAATTACAGCAAACTTACTGAGGTGGTAAATTTCTTACTAATACAAAATGTAAAAATTTGTAAAAATGTTTGAATTAGTAATAGGCATATGATGAGGATGATAAATATATTAATATATATCCATATATTAACTCAATAATAGATTTATTAAATATCTGTTGTCTATTATTAAATATCGAAATAAAGAACCTGATCAAAATGAAAATACCTAAATGTAATAATCCAACTGGTATTTATTATGATTCCCACAAAAAAAAAACACTTAATCATAATCATGACATAATTACTATATATAGGAAATAAATCTTATTAAATGCTATAAAAATCATTATAATTAAAGATTGTGTTCTACAAAAAAAAAATACCGATTTCAATTATAGCAAAACCAGTCATTTTGATCTCAAAATTGAACAATTGAATCGATTTTTATAAATTGTCTATGGGAACAGTTTGTAAGTATATCTTTTCATAGAAAAAAAAATAATTTTCCAAATCAATTTAGAATTGACGCAGAAAGAGAAAAATTATTGATGCCCATTAATTCTTCTCTTTTCGTGTCTAGGGAATGTAGATAAAGTTTTGTTTGAGAAATCAGTACAGAGTACGATAGGGCTGATATACCTGACCTGAAGAAGGTAAAAGCCCTTAAAATAATATAAAAAAAAATTTAAACAAAAAAATATAACCGATTTGAAAACCTTCTATTTGAAGTTTGTTAAAAATGCGTTCAGGATAAAGGAAAATATAGTTAAATTGAGAACCATGTCCTTTTTTAATTTCGGTTGAAAATTAAACAGTGATACATTTCCAAGCCAATTTATTTATGAATTACTTCAGATACAGTTTGTCTATAATGCAGTTAATCCATTCGAGGCATTTTGTGTTTATTACCGTTGTCTACTGTCTATTTGGGTACTAATAGATATGGATATTTTTATGTATTGAGTCATACGAATATTCGTCTAATACACAATAATTATAATGTAGTAAGTGAATACACATTTATAACATTAATTCTTATTTAAATTCTGATAATATATAATTGTGTAGATTTAGGGCCCGATCTATCACTAGCAAGTTAACATAGTAATTTATTACAAATGGGCAGGAAATATTCATTTTTGCCCGGAGCGGCATATATGAAAAAATAGACCAAGCATTGGTTAGATTGATCTAATAAATACTGGAATATTGTGTTCAAAATTCGATAGTCATTCCCTGTAAATTATTGCTATAAATAAAACCGTTCGATCACTCAATACAGGTGTCATCCACCTATATTTAATCCATTTACATTCAGACAAAAGTACCCTTAATTTTTTACATTGGGCTCGATTCTGAAATGTCATTAAAATGTATATTGAAGAATCAGTTCTAGGTAAGTTCTTATTTTAAATTTGGTACTTAATTGTGATTTGAAATTGTAATTTTGAGTTTTAGAGAATAGTATTTCGGAATCGACACCATTGTTTATAAATTTAAATAAATAAATAAAAGTTTTTATTCTTTTTCTATTAATGTAACAAAATATTTTAAATTGATATAAATCTTTGACTTTGTTCATAAGTTTTATAATATTGTCATCGATTGTATTTCGATTCAAATTGTTATGACGTTATTTCATTATTTAGATTCTCACAAAACGTTACAATGTTACAATGATCCGATCATTTTGTGTCACAGCCACATATTTTTAAAACAAATATATAATTTTCTACAGTGATTCCTCTGTACAAATAATGAAAATTTACAAAACAAGAAACGTTTCATAAAATCTGCATTAGTTTAGTGAATAGATCAGTGAATACACACATAGGTAGATAATACAAACACGTTTTCATTTTACAAATGACGTATAAACATTTTTTTTTTATTTTCTATTCTATTTAATACTATTAAATACAAATCTTTAAGCTTTATAGATATATCTTTATTTTTTTTTTCTATTTTCCTACGCAAGACATATATATATATATTTGTTTATATTATATTATTTGATAAATCCAATGACTACTAAATTATTGGTCATCTATCACACATAATTGATACGTACGTCAAATTTTTACATCAACTTTTTTTTTAATTATACTTTTTAATTTACTCTATCATGATAAATTGTGATGAGCACGCAGGGCGCGGAACGCGTCGAAAGAGCCGCGGATGATCTGAAAATTGCTACTTTAATTTCTGAATGGATTTCCGTGTGGTTCAGGCATAGAATGGACCATCCCTTCCTTTCCTGTGACTGTTGTAAGAGGTGACTAAAGGAGTTTAAGGGTCGAGAAATGAGCAGAATGACTGCGGTTGTCAACCCGCCTGCCAAGCGTGGCGTGGATAAAGGTGGAAGTAGCCACCTGTACGTGCTCAGTACTACCCACATATCTAACAATATCCTTAAAGAGCAATATGATAAAAAGTGAGAAAAGAGGGGATGACAAAAAAAGTAGAAGAAAATAGTTTTGAATAAATCCTTATTACGGTTAAAGATTCATAAAAATTCAGATATGATCAGTGCAAAATGCATCGATTTAAACACTTACTTTACCCCATCTACTATTACAACAATCAAACAGCTGTGTTTGCATGTTGGAAGAAAAGCCTTTATTTTTAATTATTACGCATAGATGGGATCTTTGTGATATCTATGGTAGTTTATGTGTATAAGCGACAGATAGTGGCTAAGATAGTCCACTTTTTACCATTCCATTTGTATTGCCATATGTGTTCTTTACGATTTTCCATATCTACGGCTTATTCGACGCATTAAGTGCGTGCTCTTTTTATAATTACTCGTTTGCCATCAATATAGATATACATATTAAATACACTTACTTATTTTAAACCATTCAATACAGCTAATAATCATACCTACCATAGAATATTAAAATAATAAAAAAACAAATTAACAGACAGTATTTAGCTAGACACTCCCATTTTTAATTAGATAGTTTATGTAGAGTTGTACATTTAATATGCAACTAGTTTGAAAATGTGTTTTTTTTTATAAATTCTTATTTACGTGTATATTTTAAAAGACGTATACGTTTATAGAGAGACATGGTAGTCAGTCTGTTCTGCTATAACACTGTTTTGTCAGGTTTTGAACATATTTCGTCCGACCCTTCGCCCGTCGTGTTAGACGCACGCGTAAAAAATTTAAAAATCAATTAGAAAAGTGTGAAAAATTGAAAAAAGTTCGTCAGTCTTATTATCGTACCAGCTCAGTTCGACCAGCTTTACCAGATGTGTTTTGATTTCTTATTTTTAAACGAATAAATAAAGGGGATGATATACTTTGTTATTCAAACACAAGGGACGGTATGTGATAAAGGGTTTTTGAAAATATTTATTTTAATTAGATTCTTTTTTATTAAATCAACACTCATTAAATTTACGCTTACTATTAGGTATGATGACCTAGACTAGTTAATTTCATTTAGTGCAAAATAAGCATAGAAAACATTACGATAATCAAATTAACTTAAAAATAAAGACTACACTTAATTACCTATAAAAATATTTTTTATCATTCCGCGATATTACTTAGACACTGTTATAGGTATTTCCATTTAATAGACGTGACATCTCAGGAAAATAACTATTATTCCAGCTTACACTGCCAAATTATTCGCTAAAATATCTACCACGTTACATTTACGAGTATAATCGAATTATAAATATATTAAATATATTGCAAACACCAATAAATTAGAAAATTATTCAAACGATAAGGAATTTAAGATCGTTCGAATTGATATTTTTATAGTAATTTTTAAAGACGTTAACAAATTTATTACCAAAAATAAAACGACATGCAGCCATTTTCAATCAATTAATGTTCCACAGAAGAGTGTTTCATTACATTTGCATTTCCACAATCGAATGCTTCCTATTTCTCCATACAGTCGAACTACTGCGACGAAAAAGAATTTGTAGACGTAGATTGGCTGGCTATTATAGAAAAAAAATTGTTTGAACATGTGTAATATTATAAAGTTGCATAATAGATGCAATGTTCTAGTGTTAATTTTAAATGTAACGCCCGCTTCTTGCATGTAATCCGTTCCGATTTACGTAAGTTTTTATTTTTTTATTTAAACTTTACGATCAATAAAAAGTGATTTAAAAAGCGGGCTTAATGCTAATGGTATTCTATGCCAGCCAGTCTATAATTACGTGTCATTACATTGTAAATCATAGTATAATAATTGTAATTATTATGATCACTTTCTGTAAGTTCAATTTCGTCACAGTAGTTAATGACATAAGGTAGCACTCGACAGCTTATCACTGTATCACCAATGATGTCACAATAAACAATATAAATTAAAAAAATACGAAAGCCGTAGTGGAGTCATGAGATGTCTGAGTTTTGGACTATCTCTTCAATGAACCCTCATGTCTCTGGCGTGAACCGGTGTAGTGTCCTCGGGGCTTGGACTATCATCCAAGTGTGGTCTAATGTGGACCACCGAACGACGCTGGTCGTGGTGGTTGTAGTCATCTCTCATCACCAGCCCTCCAATCCCGTACCCTGGGCCCATCATCCCGGAGCCGCTGAGACGCATCTTCTCAGGATCTTCGTCCAGTTTTACGGAGGAGAACACAGTGCTAAGGTTCAGTTGAGGTATGTCGTAGAAGACGGTCAGCGTCAGCACGAGGAATGTCAGTCCGATAAGGAGGTAAACTAGAAGAAACGAGATTTACGTTAAAAATATTATTTTTTATATATTTATTTATCTTCACTGAAAAAAAACACAATTAATCGTTGATTCTTGATAAATTTGTCGCGATTTGCCAACGGACCTGATTTCTTTATCATCTATCACTCGTCCATGATGTACTATGTAAAGCTGATATCTGGTAAGTCACGTCAAAGACATTTGGATTTGACTAAGGATGCCTAAAACTTTTAATATCAAAGGGCACCTCAACACAAGTAGAAGATTAAAGTAAGGCATGAACTTTTTCCACCGTGCGTTTTTCAAAGCACTTTTTTCCACGCAAAACCACTCTTTGGAATCAAATTCCAGCAGCAATATTTCCGAACGTGTTGTGGGTGATCATGGGCGGCGGTAGTCACTTACCACCAGGTGAGCCGCATGCTTGTTTGCTCCCTGTGTTGTAAAAAAAACTTCTTGTATGACTAAGGTGATCTAGAAACTATTGACAATAGAGGGTGCCCCATTATAGTATATATTATATATACAATATAAAAATGTACTATACAATACTCACAAGTGGTAGCCACTTTGTACACAGGTCGGTATAGTTGTCCGGGCGAATCGCCGGGGATGTAATCACCCAGTCCGATGGTGGTCAGAGAAATGAAGCAGTAGTAGAAGGAATCAAGGAAATCCCAGTCCGGCTCTAGATTCGCGAATATAGCTGCTGGCACCACCAGGAAGAACACTACCATCGTTGTCACTGCAAGAAAATATTATAAAATAAAAATGCTGTATGATCCCAACATTGAATTTGCCACCTCTTCATATTTCGTACGTGTCGTAAGAGGTGGCTAAGGGAACTTAATGGTCGAGGAGTAAGGAACAGCGTCCTTTTTAAAACATCACCAAAGCCTAACTGCGATTACGCTTGGTACTTGGTTGATGATCACTATTGGTAAAACTCTCTTTATGGCGAAGACCTATGTTCAACGGTGGACAGGTAACGACTGATATGATGGATCCGAGATATAGATTATTTATCCACTGACTCCCAGGTCAGTGGACAGATAATTTGATCTGCAATGAGTTGCAAGGAATCAGTGGATGCAGATGTTTCGGGACCGTTCTTAATGGCAATCTATGTGAGGCCCATGTATAGATTATGTGTGCACAAAATTTAATTCAAATTAGTTTAATCACACCAAATATTCATCGTCAACATCTGGACATCTTGAACTTAAACTTCCATCTAGAATTTTAAACAACATGGAAACTAACCAATAATCATCAAATGCACAAGTCGTATGGTGAATGGGCGGTACAGGTGGCCGAGAGAAGCGTTCAGGGCCCTCAGCATCGTCGTGGCAGGCAGTAGCAGACGTTCCACTAGCGCGGAGAGCAGCACCAGCGTCAGCGGGATCCCGAGCAGTGCGTATACCATGCAGAACAGCTTGCCCGGCTTGGACAAGGGTGTTACGTGACCGTAGCCTATAAAATATGATTTAGTGTTTTTAGAGATTCGATACATGAATCTATAGTCATAATGGGTGGGAGGGGTTGTTAGGAACAAAAACTTATGGTTCCATTGGTAGTAATATATCCTTCAGATCAATCTTCACGGTCCCCCTTATAAACAACTGATTTGCTTCCATCCTGACTTATGATCCCTTACTGGTAACCCGTTAACGTAAACCAAAAGCGCTAGCAATACTATAAAATCATTTTCATCTATTAAAGAAAAAAACCCGTTAAAACATATCATCATTTACTGCTAATTTTGAACCAATTTCGTAAATTTTTTTTGGGATTGGTGATTATTTACATCCGAGTTGAAAACTTTATAATGACTGAAGATGCCGTTTCGTTTTACGAGACCATATATTACTAGTTGTGAAGTAAAATCCACATATAAATACAGTTTTATTGTTTTAAATTCGATTATATTCAATGTAAGATATCTATGAAGCATCGTTTAATTTGCTTAATGTATCTGTTTTAAGAATATTCATATACGAAGCTTACCTATGGTGGTAACCACAGTTGATGAGAAGAACAGCGACTGTCCAAAGCTCCAGTTGGGCCCGCCACTGGAGTTGCGGGAAGCTGACACCCCCCTGTTGCTGGCGCGGACCACCTCGTCCAGCAGTGTCTCCAAATCATCGTCTAGTAGCAATACAAATGGTCCACATTAGTATCCTAAATGTTACTTTTTTATGCAACTTAGAATGGTAAACGAGCTGACGGCCCACCTGATGGGAAGTGGAAATCGTCGCCTATAAATACTATAATTATTAGAAGAAGTTCGATAACCTTTCATATTATTCATCAATCTCCGACCACTATTCAGTCCACGCACGTGTTGCGACACGCTCAGACTATATATATTACATTAAAAACCAGATTAATTAAATTTAAATATGAGAGCGATTTTTTTAAATTTTTTTATGATTTAGATGTGAAAGTTTTATAGTACGAAGACTGATACTAAGGTCAGATATTAAGAGATAACGTTGCCTGATGATAATGCAATAATGAAGTTACTAATAATAGATCCTGTCAGGTGGACCTCCATGCGGTTTCCTTGAAAACTATCGTAGTTAATTCCTAGTGAATTCGTTACGACGGGTAAATTTAACTGACTTCATCCTCACTTATCATTCCTCACTCGTTCTGTCAGCGTATACCAATCACATGCCAGAAAAAAGCACTCTTACAAAAGTTGCCTATAATTTTTCATTAGGCACATTTTTTATAATTTTTCTTTAGGTTTTTAAACCAAACTCAATAATAAATAAGTACCTAATTTTTTCATTTAAAAATTAAATGTTCAAACCGTAATTTCAATATTCTCTGGGACCTGCCTTTGTTTATTTACATCTTACGACAAAGGAAAAATGGGTTCGTCTTAACCACAATTTGTTACAATTAAACATTAAATCTCGGAGTTGGCTCAAACAAAGCCTGGAAGCGCTTACGATTAGTGACGAAGGGAAATTATAATATGCTATTAACTCAAATTTGTAAATGAGAACGTATTGTACAGTTTTGAAGCTGTGTGCGTTGTTTATGAATTAATTTTATTTTCATTTACAGACTAATTTATTAATCTAATAAATTTGCCTTCAAATAGAGTGTTCAGTCTCACATATTGAATTTTCTAAATCAGTGTTTATCAACGTGTGGGTCACGAACCCTGTGTCGGGGGAAGGGGCTTGTTGAAGCAATGGAGTTTGACAGTCCCCCTGCTAGCAATATGCCCTATTGGGTCAACCTCCGCGTGGTTCCCCCTGGAAACCATCGTGAACAATTCTTTTTGAATTCATCACGATGGGCTAACTGACCTGCTTCATCCTCATCTTTTATCCTTTACTGGTGCCCCGCTGGTGTATACCGATAGTGCGGGTGGGGTTACCATTCCATTATCACCCATTAAAAAAAGACTCCCTCGCGAGGATCGCAAAGGATCTATAGAGTATTTTTTTAATGGCTAAAAATAAAATGGTAACCCCTTACCCCTACCATTGAAGGGATGAGGATGAAAACAAGCCAGCTAGCCCATCATAATGAATTCATCAGGAATTAATCATGATAGTTTCCAGGAACCGCTAGGAGGTCGACCTGGTTGGGTTTATTGCTAGCAATGGGATTCTCAATCTCCATTACTAACAATCCCTTTCCCCCCGACCTACACGTGTACTGAATTTCACATAAATCCCTACAAAGGTTTAAGCGTGTTTGAGTAACAAATATAGAAACAAATTTACATATTTTCACATTTATAATACTTTTCCGTGGGATTTTTTAACCCGTCTAACGATAAGGAAGCAGCCCTAGTTACTGTACTACGTAGTACCTACTTGACATTGACAAACTATCAGGAAGTGATTGGGCAGTATTTGTTAATTGCTAATAAATAGGTAATTTGGGGGGAAAGGGGTTGTTAGCAATGGAGTTTGACAGCCCCATTGCTAGCAATATGCCCTATCAGGTTGACCTCCACGTGGTTGCCCCTGGAAACCATCGTGAACAATTCTTGTTGAATTCGTCACGGTGGGCTAACTGGCCTGTTTCATCCTCACCTATCATCTTCCACTGGTGCCCCGCCGGTGTATACCGATAGCGCGGGTGGGGTTACCATTCCATTATCACCCATAAAAAAAATAGGTAATCAGGTTGTGGAGTACAACTTGACTGTGAGTCTACGCTGGCGAGGTACCAGTGAGGATAAAGCAGGTCAGTTAGCCCACCGTGATGAATCTAACAATAAATCAATCACGATGGTTTCCAGGGGGAAGCATGAGGAGGTCGACCTGTATATATATATATATATATATATATATATATACATCTTTTATAATTTTATTAAGGAAAAACATATCGAGATATATATTAGGTAAAGTAAAAATTGTAGATATCAAAGCCGAATTATATTATTTTCAATTGAATGCCCATGCCGAAACCGTGAGGCGTTTCTCCTCGGGTAGCGTCTACGATATTTTTCTATTATTCAGATCGCGTCTTAGTTTAGTTGTATATCTACACAAACATCTAAAATTGATGTAAAAATATCAAATGTATCTAACATCTAAGATCAATCGCCTCGAATGTGTATTATCAAATATTTGTTAGTACAGTCAGCGTAAAAACATTATTAATATAATAAAATTTTCCATAACTTTATGCACCGTTTTATATATTTTATAACTAGCTGTATCCCGTGGTTTTACCCGTCTGAATCAATATGTTAAGTGTCCTACGTGTTAAATTAGAGAGTAAGTTAAAGTCACAAACTTTTACAACAGGCGTGATATATATATATATCGTGGTAACATACGTCAATCAACGCAACTGGGGGTACAGTATAAATCTGCTGATAACCTGCTGATCTCGCATCGGGTCGGCTGTATACACGTCATAAAATTGCTTTGGCGTCGAGGAAAATAACAGGGGTGGAGCCTGTAAGTAATATATGATTATAATGGGTCCGATTATGATGCGACATTCCTCTAAATTCATCTTTTAACCTAAAATAATAGGTTAACTAGTGTAACTTGATAGTTAGTGTTTTATGGTTGCTGGCGCGGACCACCTCGTCCAGCAGTGTCTCCAAATCATCGTCTAGTAGCAATACAAATGGTCCACATTAGTATCCTAAATGTTACTTTTTTATGCAACTTAGAATGGTAAACGAGCTGACGGCCCACCTGATGGAAAGTGGTAACCGTCGCCTATAAACATGAGCAGTACCATGGACATAGCGTTGCCATTCCTGAGGACTCAGGTGTTATTCCTCCGTACCCAGTAAATTTACGCCATATCCCACCCTTCAAACCGAAACATAGCCATGCAAACACAATTGCTTCACGGTTGAAACACGAATGGGACAGAGGTACCCAAGCAATCGACTTTTATACAAAGTCTCCCTCTGGTAGTGAACACTTAACGGCTGATATTATCATCAAGATCATTGGAACAAATCATTAATATTAAATGGATGTCACCGCGGTCTTCCATAGGAATTGTCAATTATAGCCTGGTAAATTCGTTATGGTAAAAAAACCTGACTTTATCGTCACCTATTATCCCCTTTAATCCACTAATTCTGTTAGCGTAAAGCTGTAAACCAACAATGCAGGTTAACATACATTTACATCGTTTAAAAAAAAACAGATACAGAGCAAAAAAATTTGAATTCAGAACATCGCGCCAACTTTCTTTTTTTTAGAAATATTCAAAGATCCATTTGGCCTATTTAAATTGCAATCCACCGAGCGATATTCAGATAACCGATGCACTGTATATAATGCGTTTCAGTACTGCAGCGGCGCGGGGTCGATGTATGCCCCCATCTGTGCTAACGTTCTCCGCTGGGTCACACCGGCCGCAGCACAGTGATAACGACGGAGCGATTGCCACTACGTTATAATTATCTGTGTTGTAAGGGAATGTGGTCGTGACCGTGTGTTCCCGGCGTAGAATTACCCTTACTTATCCCGTGGGTATCGTAAGAACCGACTAGGGGAGGACGAGCGTTGGGCAACAGCGTCCCTCTTAGTCTCTAAAGCCTGACTGCGGTTGCCAATCCGCCTGTCAAACGTGGCAACTACTACACCAAAGGGGGAGACTTATGTTAAGCAGTGGACAGGTAAAGGCTGATATGATGATGATGAATGGAATGGGATTCATAGTAATGGGAGTTTGAAAGCCTAGCAATATACCCTATCAGGTTGATTTTCATGCGACATTCCCCAGGAAACCATGATGGTTAATTCTTGTTAAATTTATCACGATATGCTGACTGATTTGCTTTCCTTCTCACTAATTAAGCTGTTAAGGAGCCATAAGGTAATAAAAAAATTCACTTTCACGTCTTACTTCTTACTAAAATAATAAATTTGTAACTTTACCATATCTGTATATGAGAGATATTTAAGAAAAATGTATATGAGTGATTAAAAAAAAAATAGAAGCCAGATCGATATTGTTTTAATAAATTTTGTCTATTTGTTTGCTTGTCTGGCTTTATGTTTGATCCAAATATCACGAAAAAACGCACGTTATTTGATGCGGTTTTCACAATTGTATTCCTGAAGGTTTACTTATGAACTGCGTTTTTGTATCATGATACGCCATCTAAAACTTAGTTATTTTATTGCTTTATCCACTTTTATTTCTTTGCACACGTTTCAGTACAAGTAGCGGATAAAAAACTAGTTTATAATTAGAAAGGACGCGAAAGTACAATCACTGTGAAATGAACGTCAACATGATTAGTAAATATATCCCGGCATAACTCACTGGATCTATGATTAACGAATTTCCCTATACCAGTGTATGGGTGGATGAATCGAGAGAGGCGCCATCTAGTCTGATTAGCGGACAGTGTATCCGCTACCCGCTAATGTCGTGTAATGTGAACACAGCATACTTGAGATGCTGGGGTCACGCTGTCGACAGCGGTGCGGCGGTGTGTTAGTGTATGATCTACTTACATATTATGCACGGCTTCACGAGAATATTACAATCACATACTATGACAGATATTGGATGTATGCCTACGAAATCAATTCCGTATTATATGTATAATATAATGCTAATCCCTTCTGGGCTTATAATATTTGTCTTGTAAACATACAGTATAGAAAAGTTGCCAGTAGGTCTAG